ACTACTCCTACATACAGGAAAACATTAACTCAATTTACCTAACCTACTTGACATACATAAATTCATTCAAATCTTGTCCTACTATATACAGTTATATACGGATCATAAATTACAAAAAATATCTAAAATATAATATCCTGTAGTGTGATTGACAAAGGGTGCCACCTTGCGAGCGCGCCAGAGACTACCGCAACGGCATGACTGCAGGCCGCTCGATAGACAGATGCTGGACGCCGGACACGCGGTGACGAACGTGCTACGCTCATCTGCTATATAATACTGTGTGTTCCAAAGTTAACTAATAAACACCATTCCAATTGTGTATCGTGTGTCGTTATTCATACAACATGGTGGCAGCTGTAGAAGTGTGAATTTACCTGTAAAAGCAACTAGAACGCGACAAGACTGGGCAGCTAACCTGCAAATAGCACCGGAAGCGGCGGCGACGTCGTCATACATCATCGCAGCACCAGATCCGTTCCATTTCAACGCTCGTAGAGATTGGCCGAAATGGAAGAAGAGGTTCGAGAGGTTTCGAATGGCTTCAAAACTAAAAGCGGTCTCAGAAGGTGAACAGATAAATACGATGATCTATTTAATGGGAGAGAAAGTTGACGAGGTTATGTTAACGTTCGGTGTGACGAACGATGAAGAGAAGCACTACGAAACTGTGATTCAGAAATTTGACAATCACTTCGCACCAAAGACTAACGTAATTTATGAAAGGACCCTCTTTCATACTCGTGTCCAAATCCCGGGGAATCAGCGAGTGATTTCATTACGGCGTTACATAACCTCGCTAGGAATTGCAACTATGGTAATTTGAAGGATGCGTTTACTCGCGAAAGAATTGTGGTCAGTGTCGCAGACAAAAAACTCAGCGAGCGAATGCAATTAGACGATACTCTAACCCTCGATAAAGCCGTACAGACGATAACACAATCGTCGAGGAGGTTAGAAAGCAAGTCGAAAGTATTCAGCCTTCAAATCGAATCGTAACACATAAGAGAAACTGCGTCAACATTAAATTCACAGGCAGTGAGAAGAAATATGTTGATAAGCGAAACAAAAAATCTGATACGAGACCTAACATCAAATCCAGGCAGATGAATAACTAATAATAGGCGACTGGAAAAAGGACTCTCCAGAAGTTGGCCATCAGCGACACTTCTACTGATTTCCTCTTGATTGTTGACGAAGCAGGAACTGGTATCCTTCCAGATAAGATGAAAGCGATTGTGAACGCACCCAACGACAAGAAGGTACTCAAGAGATCGATAGGCATGGTTAATATTTTTAGCGAAGGCAATTCCCGACAAGGATACGATTCTGGCTCCTCTTCAAATGCTACTGAGAGAAGATATGGTCTTCGTTTGGGGACCTAGTCAGGAAAAAGCCTTTGCAAACGTGAAGTCTATGTTGACTTCTGCCCCCAGTTCTGGCACGATTCGACCCAAGAAGAAAAAACTACAGTGACAGCGGATGCGTCGTCGTACGGAATTGGAGGGGCGCTGCTACAGGTTCAAGAAGATGGAAGCATTAAACCCATTGTCTATACTTCAAAATTACTATCGACACTGAGAAACGCTACGCACAGATTGACAAGGAGGCCCTAGCGATTACTTCCGCCTGTGAAAAATTTGCAGACTACATCACAGGCATCGAGATTGAGATTGAAACCGATCGCAAACTCCTCATTCCTATCCTTACTACTAAGATTCTAGACGATCTATCTCCCAGACTACAAAGGTATCGTATCAGTCTCATGCGTTTCGATTACACTGTTGTACATGTTCCAGGTAGAGACTTGTACCTAACCTACAATGTCTCGAGAGCTTCACTTTGCCTCCAAAATTCCACATAGATGAAGTACACAGAATTCACAAAACATTTCACTTTCAAAAAATATAAATTTGATACACATACACAATGAGGTTTTTTCTCTTCTGATTCTATATAACACAATCAAGTGGTTCGGCTCAATGTAACCCTACGCATTTTCAGTTCAGGTTCCAGTGTATCATTAAAACGTTTTGCTTAAGGCATCAGCTTTTACAAGATATTTACCTTTCGTGGATAATTTCTAAATTAGATGCTTGGATCATTAATGCCCAATGCATCACTAGGGTTTTCACTCGAACAGTTGTTTAACGAACATAGCAGATTGTGATCTGTTTTTACTTTAATTTATGCATTACCATCCAAATAATATTTTAGTTTCTGCAATGCCCATATTATAGCAGTACATTTCAATATCGCATATAATTCCGTCGTACAACGTTGTAATTTAGTATCAGTGAGTTTGCGACTAAGATATAAAACAGGTTTCTCCTCCCCCTTGTCATCGTATTGCGCAATAATGATGCCTTCTTCCCTCTTAGATGCATCGCATTGCACAATAAAATATTTGAATTCCATTAGGCGCTTGGAAGACGACATAGATCATTTCTTTATTTCTCAAAAACCACTTCGTATTCCGGCGACCGTGCCATTTTACACTGCCGTTCTCGGCTTTCCAATAAATCCCTTTATGGGACTGATATTCCCGAATAATCTGGCATAAAACGCCTGTAGTACCCCGTCAACCCTAAAAAAGCACGCACTTGCTTCTTTGCCAGTGGCACTGGATGTTCTTGTATGTTTTTTACTTTCGCCTCCACCGAACGCATCATGCCATTTACGACCATATATCCTAAATACTTGACATTAGCACGCAGACGCACGCATTTGCACTTGCTCGGCTGCACGTTTAACTTCGCTTTTTCAAAGATCTGAAACACCTTTTCTAGACGCCGGAGGTGTTCTTGCCACGTAATGCTGTATATCGCAATGGATAAATACGGTACGGCAAATTCCGCTGATGCTGCTGCCATCATGCGGCTGCACTAATATGGTGCATATTTCAGCCCGAAAGCAATCTTAAAGGCCTGTACGTACCGAAACTGGTGCAAAACGCGGCATACATTTGCGCTTTCGGAGACAGCGCTATTTGATGATAAAACTTCGCCAAATCTAAGGTGGTAATCATTTTCGCAATTTCCTTCAGAAGGATTTTATATTGGTGGGGCGACATACATATATACACATACATACATATAAGGTGCACTCCGTATATTTTTTTTGTTTCGTCTGTCAACTCTATATTCATAGTGACGACATCGGTCAGCCCTGGCATATCCGAAAATATATTCTTACGTATACTTTAGTATTAGATTCCAAAGCTTTGTTCGGAACTCGTCTTCGACTTCCGTTCCCTCTAACACAGCTTCAGCATCGAAGTCAGTACTGTCGAGGTTAACCGCGTACTTGTGGAGCTCGTCTTCCTCTACTTCGAAATTCGTACTTCGATCAGCTATGAAACTCAAATATTCCATACGCCGAACGTACGCCTTAAAACATATTTATATGGTAAATACGCCCTTCTTTCTTTCCTGGCATCAAAACTACATAGTTTGTATCGGACTTCTTTTCAATTTCTTCCTCTGGCCTGGTCCACTGTACTGAGAGTTTTTTGTGGGATTAGGGGCTAAAACTATCACGCGGTCACCCTTCCCTATGGACGACTCTCTTGTCCTGCGAGATTCTCGTAATCGATTGATCAGTTTGAAAACATATTCGACAACGGAGTTTTCTTCCCAAACCTCCGCACCCGAAATATGCAAAAAGAGAATCGCTGGCTACTGGTACTCTCACACAGTTCCTGGTTCTAAACACAGTACTTTGATTAACCGGTTCATAGTTCTATGAACACGTTCATTCGGATTCGACTGCGGAAGATACGAAAATGACTGTCCCCTGATCGCAGGAGCGATCCTTATCCGAATGAAGATCGGTCTGAGTCGTGGTCCTCACCACTCTCCACGAGAGCACGCACAGTGTAACACTCCTTTGCCGCAGTCACACGTGAAACAACTGTTCTTCAACGTCTCCACAACACAAGTCCCCACGAGCATAGCTCGCCTCCGCACCGCCCCGGTGCCCGTTTCACAAACGTTACAAGTTACTACTACTAGTAATCACAAGTACTCGTAAGTTCTGTTTCACAAAGATTTGTGAAACTACACTTGTGACTAGAAGTAGGCCCTAGAACTAGATCTGTTTGTTATTAGAAAATACTTTCTTGTACTTTACAAAAATTATAATTTTGTTCTAAATTCAGAAAATTTGTCCAATATAAAAATATTTGTGTAGATGACTCAAGTTAAGAAAAGGCTTCCAAATTGTATGGAACATTTTTGTTCCTTTTAGTAGGTTTGCCCCCCCCCCCATGAATACCGCCTCTGATTTGTATTATTATCAATAGTGGCTTCACATTTGTAAGGCACTAGTATACATAGATGTAAATGTATTTGAATAAATCATTGAATTTATGGATTTATTGATCTTTATGAACAAATTTTCTAGCATAAGGCTCGAATTCTTCTGCGGTTCTATAGACAATATTGTAGGATTTTCAAAATTAAGTTTGTCATTGGTAGAAAAACTGTTCAGAAAGGGAGTTCTGTCTTGCATTAATTTCCCAAGTGTAACATCTATGTTCACCTACTTTCCTTCAACTTTCTTTTGACCTAACTAATATAAGAGCTATCACCATTATGGCAAGAAATCTTATGTACAATATTTTGTATTTTCGTCACTTTGATGATGTTTTGTATTGTGCGTTTTTGGTATCGTACGTCTTCCCCGAAACAGTTGGCCAGCAAGCGTGAGGGTGTGTAATGGCGTCTCCACACATCTGTGGAGCCGCCTTAAGCGTTTTATGACCCTGTTTTTTGAGAGGAGGAGCGATGCACTGCCTCTTGGATTCAAAGCGCGTCGAAGTGCCGCGTTCGCAAACACACCAGGATGAGTGGGTAATGAAAGCGGCATCCATTGTAGAATTGTGTTTTAGGATTACTCCAAAACAATACAAGATATGTTTATTGTAATGAACGTGAAAAAAAGTTTGACATTTAACCTCTTCACTTACAGATACTGAAATTCATAAATAAAAGTCATAATTTGTTTTTAAATGTTTAATTTAATATTTGTACATTTGACATAATATGACAGACGCAATCATTATTCAAATTTAAGTCCAAATAGCAATGTAGCTCCATCTGAAGTATCTTTGATGTTTAGATAATCTTGATTTTGACGACTATCGTTTGAATTATTATAAAAAATTAAAGTACTCCTTTATGTTAACAGTACTTCTCGTATTCATTATAGTTCTTGTTCACATATCGAGGGTAATTTCCACTTACATGGAACAAATTTCAGATTTCCTTTCACATTGATAGTTCCGCAGAGACTTACAAAATTATCTTGTTCTTGTTTTCTGTCATCATTTTCCTGTATAATGCCATCTGGTACTTCATAAGCATCACCTTGAAAAGAAAGTTTAAAGAAGTTAAGACAAAATTTAAGACCTTTTTGTAAATAAGAAACTATTAATTTTCTTTGTGTATAAATAGCAGAGATTAAATTTATATATATATATAATGTGGCGTTATGGGATTGTGCAACCCGTGCAACCCCATAACACCACCGTCTCATGTGTGAACACTACGGAAGCAGCGAGGATGACAGGCGGTAACAGAGGGACTAAACGGGCGTCGGCCTGTATCCTTCCCGTACCTAAGCGAATGCGATTGCAAGCAATGGTTTCCTTGGTGAAGCGTTAAGAGAGGCGGAAAGTAACGGCCCCACCACAAATTTCCCCAGAGACCGTTGCCCATTAAAACGCGAACCCGCAAGCGAAGCTCTCTTTTCTTCACCACGCGCCCGATAACAGCTGCTCTCTTTGATTCACCGTTCGACGATCAACATTTCGCTTTAAACATACATATTGTTTGCCTCTGCAACGGACTACTAGTTGGAGTATGCGCGTCGAAAACTTCTAGTTAGTCGTCCGCGAGATACTCAGATTAAGTAGTCGTTTCTTCAATTAACAACACAAGTAAATGTTACCCGTTGTGAAGGAACATTAAATTCTGGCTTGTCAAAGTAAAAATAGCCAACGAGCAAACTTGCACGAGTATTCGTAAAGTGCAAGGACATTTCGCAACGTGCGGCGTAGTCAAGAGGGCGCCGTTAGCAGACAGGAAGAAGAAAGCCACGACTGGCGCACGAGGAAGAAGACGGATCAAAAACGAAGAAGAACGGGGGAAGAGACGCAAGAAGCAACGCAAAACGCAAAGGCCGAATCCCGTCTTCTTACAACGCAGATTGGACCGAGCGCGTCACCGCAGCGACCACGCGCACGACATCAAGCCAAAGTGAAGTCACATTAATTAGAACCGCAGAAAATAGTCAATTCACCTCGGCAGGGAAAACTAGTGTAGAAAGTGTTAAGATTTGAGACACGTTGCAACAATTTACAGTATTATAGTAGAAACGTTTTGATGCCTATGCCTGTCTAAAAAACATTATACTTAGGACATTAGTATATCGCTATTTCCAGACACAGTTAAATGAAATTAGAGTAGTGCACTAGCACAACATTATGTTCTTACATGTAATATCTTGAGCAAATTGTAAATGAATTTTATTTCACGTGCAATGAATATATAAGCACAAATTAGATATAATTAATTTTCCAAGGAATTCCCAGTGTAGTTAAGGTAATGAATTCAGGGTATCAATCTTCAAGGTAAATTATGTGTTCATTCATATTATGGGGGTGTGTTGTAAAGTTTCTATCTGTGTTTATATTCTTTGTAAAAGTTGATTCTATATTCTTGGTTGTCTGTCATTTAACTTAGCCACTAAAATTTATCGTAAATTATACGCTCTTGTTGCAATCTTTTGATTTTATTTTTTATGTCAAGGGTTTAAACGCTTTCTCGCCCACCTTGAAGATCCTGCTCCCTATAGTTTTTTAAAAGCTCGCGTTCACGAGCAAAAATCTTGATAACCCGCTTACGCTTCATGGCTTCTACTAGTGAAGGCGTATGTGTATGGTATGCTAGCAATATATATAAGTATATATATTATATATATATATATATATATATATATACACCCGATGACTGTTCCAATAACTCGCGTATATTAAAATATACATCTCAATCGTGTTTTGTCGCCTTTCAAGTACAACCCTTGGGTAGTCACAGACCGCTCGCAGCTTTTCTTCCAGCGAATTTATCAAATTGGCATCCTTTCGAGATGAATTGGATACAGAAAAAAGTCGGTTGAAGCCATATCTGGGGAATAGAGTGGCTGTGAGATTAACATTGTGCGGTTTTTCGCAAAAGACTGTCACAAGGGACGAGGCATGCCCTGGCGCGTTATCATGTTGGGATTTGAATTTTCGATCCTCCAACGATTTATGTATTTTTCCCATGACTGCATGCCTTAGCCTCTTTAGAATCTCCACATATAATTATTTATTAACTGTTTGTCCTTTAGGGACGTATTCATAAGGAATTAGCCTTTGCCAGACGAAAAAATCAAAGAGAATGACATTCACGTTGGACCGTGATATCCGAGCTTTTTTGGTCGGGGAGAGGTTGATGTTCTTAACAATTGAAGTCGGTTATCCTTTATTGTTCTGTGGTTATACCGCTCAAACCAATGAAACCGGCTCATAGATTCATTACCAAAGGTTTGTTAAATAAATTTGAAGGTCTCTGTAGCACTTTTGCCGGTATTAAAACACAATTTAACGCACACACATTGCACTTTCAGCTCCTTCATTACGCACCGACACAACAATTATACAAGCCAGACAAGAATCACTGTCACGCGGCTCTAGTACATCGCGGTGAGGCACAAGGTGGCATTTCAATTGCCGTAGACAGCGGTAATGTTTGGCAAGGTAGTGAAAAGTACTCCACTATCCCGTGAACTGGTTTTCAATTCTTAATAATTTGTAAGGGCGAGTTACTGTGTAATAGAATAGTATCGGTTTATTTTAAATATTTTAAAAGTATGTAAAACTAATTTGGAACTTTTATGTGAAAAATGAAGAGTAAAGGAGTATGGTTTGGAGAAAATAGTTTAAACAGTTTAGGCACATGTGTTGGCCACACACGGACACGTTTTGCCGCAGATTTTTCGGTATAAAGGGCTCAAAACATGGATTCTGGAACACGGTTTGTTAAAGGAGAGAAGTTTTTACATGTTTGTGTTCGAACAAGATTTTTCCACTTTTTCGTTCCTGGTACCTCAATATGTTTCTAGACGAAAACTCGTTTTTTCCCGGAGCATTACATTATGATTATTAATACTTTCTATAGATATACTTTCTCTACAGTGCGTAAGCCTTACGTGACAAAACAAAAATTTGGAGCCGTTTGAGAAAAGTAATTTGAGCATTTTCGAAACAGCGAAATTTGTAACTCATTTTAGTAAAACTCTTGAGTTTACGAGAATCTTGAGAAATACATTAAAGCGTTTCTACTGAGAGAAATGCAATAATGTTAAAAAAACGCTGCTAATGGGAATATTAGAGACACGACAGATATTCCGAAAACATACCTTCGTGTAATTATTGACAATTCAAAATAATACATTAAACTGGCATTGAACTGACATTAAATGCCATTAAATTCAGTGTATTTAAAAAATGGAACTATTTTTGAGAAAATGCCATTCATGCGTTTCTGAAAAAACAAACACTTTTGAGCTTATTTTCATAGAAAACATTTAAGTTTTTTGAGGAACTACATAAGAAATAATTTGAGAGATGTTTACTCACAAATGCAATTCAGTATAAAAATGTAACGACACTTAATATTTGAAAACAATGTGGGATATACATAAAAACTTACATTTGTGTAATTTATGAAAAAACAAAATAATACATCAAATGGCTTTATGTCAAGTTATTCAGTGTCTTTAGTATTGTCCGTACAAAAAGGTAAAAAAACTGGAGCCTTTTTTGAGAAAATCTCGTTTTAAAAATTTAGTCCTTTAGTCAACCAGGTCAGGGGACTCGTGAGCCAGCCAGTTCGCCGAAAACTTGTCGTATCAGGGGGTCAGACCAACATTTACTAGTAATAGAAGGTATTAGCCAAACCCACCACCATCCCACCTGTCTTCCAGGGTCGTTCCACATGACATCACCACCTATGCCACCCAAACCACCTCCATGATATCACAATCAGATGAGTGACGTCTTATCGCACTCTCGCGTCACCAAAGGGGCAGTGCACCCATTGGCTCATAAGAGACGGGTCAATCCTCGACGCTGGAAGTATGATGTGTTTTCGCCGGATATGGTTTAAGGTTAATATTAAGATTTACCAATGCGAACAAATTAAAGGTTAACCACAAACCGAAAGTAATAAGATCAATTTTATGGAGGAGAGTCACATACCCCCTACTACCTTTATTTATCTTACAATTGGGAGAAAACTACTCATATTTTCGAAAAAATGTATATGATCTGACTTTAAGATTTCTTCAAAGGACTGATTTTTTAAAGAAAAAAATCTCCACCTTCAATATTGTAGTTGTTGAAAGACGCCAAAAAATTGAACTTTTGCAATTTTCAAAAAACAGGGATTTCAACGAAAATGAGACCTTTATCATTCTTTTAAGGGTCATTTATGCTATCCAAGAACGAAGTTAAATTACACAATTTGATACCATTCTTGAGAAAATTTTGAAAATGTGTAGGTTTCATGGAAAGTACCCTCAAACATCAAATTATACGTTTCAAAAAAACCTTGTCTTCACGATGGAACTTCGGTCACCAAGGTATTTCGCGTCTTTCTCGGTCGTGCCGCTAGGTAACGCATGGTCGCTAGACGCGAAATACCGTGAAATATTCCATCAACAAAGCCTCGCGCGACAAGAAATAAAAACCAACGTATAAGACAGCGCCGGATCTCGTCATCTAACTGGGGGAAATCACCGCCACCTCCCGAGAAAAAATGTACTACACTTACGTGAGTAGTGACCTTAACAGTTCACGTGCCCGGAATTACTAATCAATCAATCAATGAATTCTGACTACACGTGTTCATTTACTGTAAGGAAGTAATTTACTGTATATAGGAACAACATTTATTCACTTTTTGTTACCACGATCTGGCAACCCTGTCAATCACAGAATCACAAAAATTCATTGAAGATGAAGCTTTGGACGAAAGCTAAACTTGTTCTCCTTTTAATGAAGACTAATTTAATTTGGACAAACTGACCCTAAGAGCAACAAATGACAATTCTATATACAGTAACACTACTATACTTTTTTATTAAGAAGTGAATACAACTATTTTTTTTATATTTAGTGAAATACATAATATATAGTAATAATGTACAATTTTATTTTGAATAAGTGAAGAAAATTACTATTAGGGGTCAGCTACTTCAATAATTTGAGCAAAAGGGGTCCTGAACAACAAAAAAGTTTGGGAAACGTTGCTTTTCATGAAGACCCTACAATATTCTCAAAAATGGATCAAATTTTTTCTTTAATTTATTTCCTCAAGTAGCAAAGTGCTTTTATAAAAATAATTCAGATTCTGCTTTCATGAAAACCAGTTAAATTTCAAAAACTGCCAAAATAAATTTTTAACCTCCTTCTTCAATATTAAAGATTCAGAGAAATAATGAAGTCTGTTTTTAAAAATTAGATCTTTAAGTAGTGTCATACATAATATTTTTAAATAAGAGTAGTGTTTCAGTAAAAATGTGATAATAAAAAAAACTTTTGTCAACACATTTTGTCAATATTGGCTACAAAATGTTTCTTTAACCCCTTAACCTACATATTGTGAAACAAAAGGCGATTCAAAAATTTCCAATTTTTTTATGTATTGATTTTATTTTGTTCAATTTTTTTAAACTTTAACTAAATAATTTTAACTTATTAAAATTTTGGAATAATTAAAACCCTGAATTAACTTGGGCTTTTATGTTAAGTGGTTAACGTTTTAACAATTATAGCAAAAATACAATTTTTTCTGAGCCTGGCCTCTACTCTCAATGTAGAATTTAAAGATTGCTTCTTAATCCAACCTTATTCTTCAATATTAGACATTGAATACTTATTTAAGAAATAAGTATTGTAGAAAATTATATTTGAGATTTGAAAATTATCAATATGAGACAATTAGACAGAGTTTGATAACCAATCAAGTAATGTACAAAAATGTTACGATACAATTAACATACTCTATTTTATCTACTTTATAAAAATTTCAATGAGCTTTAATTTCTATTTAAATTTGACTATTCATCAAAAACATCTGCAAACCAATATTGATTCGTTCATTGAAGGCTACGGGTGTGTACTGCTAATGCTTATTAAGAAACTGATTATAATTGTAAATAGTGGGCTGTGGATTATTGGAACACAAATGTTCTAATAACTCTTATTACAAAACATTTGTTTTAACATCTGCTAGAACAAATTCAGCCACTCTCTGGAGGAGATTTCTTGCAGCCAGTTGCTCTCATTGGTAGTTTTTCTGTAGTATCTCCAATTAATACCAGGCAAATGCTAGAGCTGAACTGTCACAAATGGGCAACAGACAATACCTCATTTGTTCTTCATATTTATTCCTACCTCTCTCCATATGCACATCATTACACTTCTGTGCTCTACTCTACTACCCGTGTCTAAAAGCTTGTAAATACCTGTCGCCAGTCAGGTATTTACAATCTCTCACTTGTTAAGTGATCTTTGTAACTAAACAAAATGGGGCAAAACTATATTTTGTGAATGTGCCTTCAGCTCCTGTGGGGACTGAAGCCTCATGAGTCACCATCTTAGGTCCACCCATGTTCTTAACAAAAGAATGCTTAATATGAATTACTGATAAAAATTATCAGAGAAACGGTATAGAATTAAAACAGGCATTTTAGCACTAAGTTTTAAAAACATCATTACTAACTGTAATTATTACATTTAATTCTTTGTCAACTAAGGTAAATAGTTATTAGTAAGTAGTATCTGTACTAATTTATATTGCAAAAATGATATATTTTGTATAAAATAGTTTTTAAATTGAATTGTTTGCTGTTTTTAAGAAAAAATGACAGCAAAGTTACAGAACTTTTGGGATGCAATGGTAAGTATGAACTAAAACTAACTGAATATTATCACTAATAACTTTTCTCACAGTCAAATAACATTTTTAACATGTTTTAAACACTAATAACAGATGAAAATGTATGTAAGTTGAATGTATGTAAAAGTTGTTTTGCAAAATAATTTATTCCTGGTTGCAAAATCAAACTTTTGGCTTTTTGTTATTTCCGATTTTCATATTTTTGAACTAGAAATACATAGATAATATTGAGAAAGTCAGACAGAGAAAATGTCAAATTTTGTAACATGCTGGAGTTAATTGCTTATATTTTGTTGAGTAACCTAAACTTACCATACACAGTGATGATATTATCTCCTGCTTGTTTATATAAACCAACAAATACTTCTTTGTTAGCACTATCATGGCCCATTGTATCTTGAATAACTTTTTTAACAATATCAGCTTCTTCCTTTGAATTAATGACTGCTAAATGAGCTCCTTCATTGTTACATAAAAAGTTGGCTTCTTCTGATTGCTGAAGCAATTTTTGCAGAAAATAATATCCATGACCAGCATATAAAGTGTAATTTTTGCTGGGTCGAGGAGGAGGGGCTAAACCAAGAAAATAATTTTTTATTGAAATATTGTTGTTATTATTATTATTGTTATTGTTATTATTATTATTATTATTATTATTATTATTACTATTATTATTATTATTTAGCTTTTATTAATAAGGGACAATTGACAAACAATCAAGCCCAAGGGACTCAAACCTGCAATCCTTAAGACCAAAGTCCTGGGATACACACTCTATTAGCCCTCTTGGCCAACCAGGTCAGCTTATCATTATTATTAATTAGGTAAACATCTTATTATTTAGGTTTTGAAAAGGCAAACAATTTTTGCACTTGATTTAATGAATTTAATGAAAACTTGATTTTTAAAAAATAAACAGGCAAAAATTTAATGATTTCTATTCTTTAAAAGTGTTGTGATGTATTTTGACCCAATCAGGACATAAGCAAGAGGAATCTTATCCTTTGCATTAATTGTTCTACTGCACAGGGGCTGGCAATCATGTAGGGATGCAGAAATTTTCCTTAAGATTTGTCAACAAAATAAATATTAAAAATTCAAGTATACAAACTGTAAGGAAGAAAAAAACAAAAGAAGACCCAAAATAAAATGGAAGAACCCTCAGTGGACTAAATTACAGTCTCTTACAAATGCAAAAGGGTAGTCAGTTGCCTAACCACACGCATATTCATGGCAATGATGGTAAAAATATAGTTAAAGGTAGATTAATTTAAGGTACCAAAAATAAAGACGAAATGGGAAGACTCATTACAAATAAAAGATATAAGGGTTGACCCAATAAAGCTTTAAATAAGATTAATGAATAATGAAAAAATATAAGGATTAGTGCAAATGAAATTATTAGTTCAGAAGAGAAAGATCTGTTCCTCAGCTGAATTATTCTGAAAGTTTTGCAGCTATTTTACTTAAGATTGGTTTGCCCTTGTTTTGATATCATTGAAGGTATAGCTAAGTTAATTTTAATCTAACCTATGATGTTTGCTTCTACACTTAACACATCTTTTGTACAATTGCATGTAGCAATTGTTTGTTTAACATCTAAATGAAGATCTTTCTCATGTTCTGAGTCTTCAGTGGTGTTCCCTTTGTTCAGTTCAACCTAAAAGATGAAATTATAATTGTATTAATATTTTTTCAATTGCATAAAACTACAGATTGTCAATGAAAGACAAGTGTTAAGGTCAATGCAATAGCCAATTAATTAATTGCAATAGTCAGCAAATTAAAATAAATGCATAGCCATGTTTTAAACAGGTACAGCTAAATTTATTTGTTGTTCCAATCCCTTATTTGTAAATTGAGGACAACCACAAAAAAAAAAAAAAAATATAAACAAAATAATAATATATATATATATATATATATATATATATATAATAATTATATATATATATATATATATATATATATATATATATATATATATATATATATATATATATTACATGACACCACCAACATTACAATTTATTCAGTTTAAAATTTTATTTACAAAACAAGAATCTACTTCATTCTTTGAACAAAGAATTTCTTTGATGTATTATACTTACATGTGTTTCCCATTTCCCATTTTCTTGCCTTTGACTGAAAAGTGAGAGCTTAAAAATTAATTTACTGCAGAAATCTTTGTTTCCTATAGAAGCTCCTTCATAATAATGAAATAGAATGCATAATATCACCACTGAGATTCTGAAAGCCATCATTTACACAGATTTTATTTGTATCACTCTTCTTGAAGAAATATTGTTTGCTCTTAAACATGCATTTTCTGCCTAATACGGTGTAGAAATATCACATGATCTCTTGTTTTGATTACTCCATGTTTCCTCTTGAGATTATTTTCATGTATTGAAATAATATACTACACTAACGTATTTTAAATAATAATCTCTGGCCATGAATATTTGTTCACATATTTATGGTCCAATTTAATTGTAAATGTACGACAATGAGAGGTAACAATATATTCAGAGCTTTTAAATTTTTATGTACAAGTTTCTTATCAAGGTTCAAAGGTCACCAAATAAGTTTTTTCTTTTAATGATGAAGGTCATTGTGAGTAAATATGAAATGGAGTCCTGGAATTGATATCTTCAGTTAAAATATTTTATATTCAAGTTTCAAGAAAACACCTGTATAAGTTTTCAGTTTTCCTATGAATAGGAAATGTACCTAGTAATTGGTTTCACGGTAACTGTTCAACTCCATCAGATAATAGTATTTCTTTATTGTACAAGGAAACTTGGTATTCCACCAGAATTTTGAGATGAATAAGCTATGCCAGAAATATTACATCAAAAAATGGGTCTGCTTTCCCAAAATTCCCGGAATTCTGTTAATTGTTTTAATCACTACTTAGATCTCTGATAAGAGAAAACTGGCTAGCCTCGATTTTCGAGTTGAGCATCAATAGTTATGAGAAAAAGCTCAATATTTCCGTATTTTTTTCTTTCTTTAGAAAACGGAGCGTTTAACTAACTGTATATTACGAAATATGTAGAGAATTAAATTCGGCGTCGATTGAGCTCCAATATTTGACCATTTGGTCTTGGGCTTGGTCTTGGACTACGATCAAAACCGCCGTTTTCTACACTTTTCCAAAAGTACTAATTTCTTTCTAAAACAAATAAACAATGGCAGTACATTTTTTTTATTAAATTTTGAACTTAAATAGCGTAAAGGACGCTTGAGAGAGTAGTGCAAGGCCTTAAAACTCCCATATGTGAAAACCTCTACGGTGGCGTGCTCTGCTGCAGCACCTTACAGGAACTAAAACACGAACTGCTGCCAACGATACTTCAAACGTGCGTGGCTGCTGCGTGAATTCGCAGGTCGCAAGCAGGCCCATAATGTTACAAAAGATAGCGTCGATCTTCAGGGATTTTTAAATGTGTACATCAATAACTGAAAATTTAAAAGACACTTTCACTATTTCTCACAAATTAGCCAATTTTGATTACCTTATACGAACTCGACGCATAAAAATTAAGTAAATAGGGTTTCAATATTTTATTTAACTTAGTTGTAATTAATTTGAATTGCTTACATTTTTATTATATGAATGGGCTTATCGCTATAAATAATTCTGGGGAAGCCTCTGCGAGATCCGAATCTTTTCAGGGCCGCTATAAATTCGTTTGTGGTCAGCTTCTCCACTATGTCTAAGTGGACAACGTGTCCTGCACCTACCAATGACTGGCATTGTTAGAAATGGCCCGCAGTAGTCGACTGATGTAAATTCCCATGGTTTTGATTGCGTGGTTCTTGAAGCAGGAAGACCACTCATTACTTGGTAGTCTGACTTTGCCCGCTATCTAATGCATCAATAATGAATAACACTATTTACTATTCTTCGAATTGAAGGGATACAAAATCTTTGTCTAACAATTGACAACGTCAACTGACATTCTGCATGCAAGTAAGTTAGGTGAATCATATTAAGGAGGGCTCTTGTAAAGGCATGTTCGCGTGGGAAAATTATCTCGTGTTTTGCCTCTTGGGACATTAAGGAATGTCTTAATCTACCACCTACTATAATGATGTCATCCTTGCCCAAAAAAGGATGAAGATTTATCAAAAATAGTAATGGCATGAGCCCAAAAGGATTTTAAGTGCCCACTTACCGAATAAGCCAATTCAACACCATGTCTATTGGCTTGTTCCGCGACGCCATATCGCTGAGGTGTGCATTACTCGCGCAACCTTTCTTAAACGATTGATTAAAGAAATGTGGGTAGAGTGGGGGTATTAGTTACGTAATAAGCCCCTAGATTTTATGAAGCAATACCAATCTCTGAAGGATCTGACATGCCTTCGCCACTTTCTTAATATTTTGCTTTCTTACTTTCTCAGATGTTCGAGGTATCTCCTGTGATGGGTATTCTCCTGCTTCTGTCATTTCCTTAGATTTTTGGAGAAAATCACGGACAGAAAAAAGTCATCTGGTGGCTCAGAGCGAAGTCGTTCGCCTTTCGCCAAGGAGGCCCGGGTTCGATTCCCGTCGAATCCCGGAAAATCTCGTGTGAAATTAGTTCCAAGAAAACCAGTTTGGCCGCTTCACAAGGGCTAGTCCAAACCCTGCGAAGTGTCCCAAACCCTTCACCAATTCTAACTCATTTCCAAATCGCGCTCGTTGGGAGCCGCGTACGCGGAGATGCTACCTGACAGTCCTCCTGACAACTAACTGCCTACGTCGAGACGTCACGACGTTAATGGAGGATTACTCCAAGCGCAAAGCGCTCAACGCCCCCCAACGAGCTTGGAGCCGCGTTGCGTCAATGTAGACGTAACAAATTTTTAAAAAAATGAAGTTCTCATCATTGCACCATGCGAGCTCTTGTCTTCTACTGTTTATTGTGTCAGAGAGGGGAATGAATGTCATTGTTCAAGAAAAGCTCTGCGAGTCATACAGACACGATGGGCAAAACTGAATACCGAGGTTTTGTAGCAACGTCAATTCAGCACGACAGTCAAATTTAGTACCACAGTCCGAGCGAAAACTTTATCTTTGTGTCCCCGGTATCGCTCTCATTTATGATTTCTAAATGCTCAAACACGTCCTATTTTTCTTTCATAATGAATATGAGTATGTACCAAGAAAATGATCCTTAAATGCCTCGTAATATCGAAAACCGTTGTGCGAATTGACATCAAACCGTTTACATCGGCATTTATCAGTTCTGCCACGACGTTCGGACGATCTTCACGCCGATGAAATGGTTTACGAAGTGACTCTGAGAATACAACCGTCACAAAATGATGCGGCGTCGGAACATTTCACTAAAATACCGACACGGGACACTTCACTAACATGTTTATCTTGATGGCCGAATCATTCGTGCCATCCCTGGAGCCCTTCTTCAAATGTAGCAAGGCTAGTTTCCACTTGTATATTCGAAGGCCGAGCGTGCAAGTCCAAAATGCACATAGCACTAACGAGATTACCGGTCGCAAATAGCTTACCATTATTTCGAATTCGCCCACTTTTATAATAAAAATAATTTTCACCATTTGAAGCTTGTTGAATAGAGAAGAGTTGATGCCGGACTTGGGACGCATACCAAACATCGTTCAATGAAGCAACCAGTGCGACCATTTGTCACCAATGTGAACATCAACATTGATTTTTCCTGATTCATATGTAAGAATACAATCATTTTCGGCTGTCTTTACGAGTGTATGAATTGGAATTTTATAATGCAAAGTGCTGCTTATTAGGCGACATGTGATGCGTGGTACCGGAGTCCGAAATACACGATTCGGCAAGAGCGACGTCCATGTCGACTACCAGGCTTGTAGTGAGAAACGAACCTGGTTTGATGTTTTTCTTTGTATTGGATTCTGTGTTGTTCTGGATGCCATCTGTATGTGCTACCCACTAATGTTTTCCTGCGGTACGTTTCCACAGTTGCTTATGATGTGACCAACTTTCTTACAGAATAAACATAAACTTTTTCTTTCTTGTTATTTTTGTTGTGTTTGCGAATTTTGTGTTGACTTATTTAGGTGCTGCATGTATCGTTGGGATTTCAAATTAGCGTAAAATGCGCCAGATATCTCCGATGTACCGTGTGTTGGAAACGAGTTCTTAATCGAACGCAAATTTTCGATCAGAAGTTTCGTTGTCTGCTGTATTTCAGGAACGTAATACCAAGTAGAACGATAATACTTGTATTCAGGACCGAGTGTTATAAAAATTCGATAATGCAGTAGGGACAATGTAGCATTCGGATTGTCTGTTTGGAGTCCTGAAATAATGTCAAATAAATTAGATAATTCAGATGCGTGCTTTGTTGTCAAAGTAACGCCATCTTTCGTAATTAAAAAAAGCTGTTAAATAGCGTATACAACCGTTACAAAGACGATTATTTGAACACTGAGAAAAGCGTATCCAATATTTCATTTGCATTGATTTTCTTACGAACGTAGATTGCAGCATCTTCGTCTAATGCCGTGGCAATTGTACGAGCCGCGTGCGCGTTGTCTCCTTGTCCCCGTTGGTATTCCTCGGACGGTTACGCATTGGCTTTTGGTGTCTCGGGGCACTGCCGCGTGTTATCCATAACAGAATAAAGGCATTGCTCTTTTAAACACTATTCGATCTGCCACTTCCATGTGTCCCATTCAGACTCATTTGCTAATTTCCAAATGCTTGCTAAAACATGACTACATTCGTCCAATTGTTGCATACCATCAGCCATATTTGCTTTGATTCTTCTTGAACGTACGATTTCCGAAATCACTTATAATCAACCGTGGATTCAAGTTAAACGCGCAGCTGGGCCTATAACCTAAGATAGGTAATAGATGTTAATTAAAAAAGCAATCATGATCAAACACAAGATCTATTTAAAACTTACCTTTTACATCGAATAGTCACAAAAGAAAAAACCGAATTTGTTTTACGTGGTTGCTGACATTCGAATTATAAAAACCAGTATATTATGGACATCAACAAATTGCTGTAATAAAGACGTAAGTAGGCTATATTGTAAAAATTAATAAAATTTAAAAAATTTAATACTGGTAGAATTGCGGAAATGTTTAATGCTCATGTCTAATGTTGCTACAGAAAGTATTTAATTTGAAATACTGGCCCTCAAGAAAGTAAAAAAACGCAGAAAAGGAGAAAGCAATGTGAGTGAAATAGATATGAAACGAAAAACAAAACTTCAATTTTTATTGAAAAGAAAATATTTTGGAGATGCTACTAATAATTTTTAGCGGTTATAAGATTTTTTTGCGGTTCAAGAAATTGTTTTGTAGAAACAGTTTGGCACATTGTTTTTAATAATTATCATATAGAAAAATAATAGTATGCTTATTATTTCAAAACATTTTACTCAAGTTTAAAAATTTTAACTCTATTATTTTTAAAGGTATTTAAGAAAATTATAAGTCGTACAGGATTTCTTATTTTTCTTTTAATTTCATTTGAAGTACTAGTAGCATCGCCATATCTGTAATAAGAATCTTGTTAACAAAAGACAGTAGTACGACAAACCAAATACGAACCAAACCTGATTTATACAACCAGATCTCAAATTCGAGCCTATAAAATGTGTGCCCAAATAATTTGAATCTGAATGTTTAGCTAATACAACAAAGCAAAATTTTAACAAAATTGACAAAGTTTAGCAAAATTCTAACACTTTTCTTAAGAAATAAGTAGCTCTATATAATTTGAATTTATTTTCGCAGATTAAATGTTCTAAAACGTTGCAATTGGGCCAGAACCTTGCATCTACTTCTTATAGTAACAAATCTCGAGAAAGGAAACTATGTCACAGTTAGTGCAAATTTTCTTACTGAGGAGCCTGTAACAACTGTAACTTTTTAATGGAAATGTGTGATGCTTTACTAGGGGCAAAGATACCTTTCGAAAAAGTATCAAATCCAACATTTAAAGGATTTATAGATAAATGTTCAAGACCATTCTCTGACTGTCCATCTTTTTTCTCTGATTTATATTTTTGATTGAACAATCTGACGGTCGTTTTTCCTAATATATCTTTCAATTATTTATTCTATTTTAATAGACATTCGAATAATTACGCAACCCACGTGTCTCACAGGTCGTATCAAAGTGGTTGTCATAATAGTTTTTATTTAGTGTGTCCAAGAGGCCGCCTATACAGGATCTCGGTGGTGAAGTATGTACGTACGCTATTGTTTCCCTTACCCTTCATGGGATTGGGGATTCTCCTTGCTGTTACACATGAATAATAATACTTACTTCTGTGGAAGAACAGATAATATTGTATTCTTCAAGAAATATATATGCATACGAAGTTCCAATTCTAAACAAATATCAACACGACATTATTACAGGATTCCTCTTGGTTACTTATATACGATGCTTTTGTCTTCCCTTTATTAATGCACGCGTGGCCATCTACCCCTTTAAATATTAAATTAAATCTTATTTTTAGGACAGAACTTGATCTTTCTTAACAGGTGAAATTAAACAGTGTTCCCCATTGATTTACTTCCCTTTCGTAGAGTGGCTGCATTCCGAACCGTCGTCCCTGGTTCGTGCCATTCACATTTAGTTGTGTTAGTCCTCAAGAATCAGTCAAACTTCTACGAGTATACACTCATTTGTATTTTCATATTAACTTCGGACTTTTCCTAACAAATCTCAAAGACTTATCATAACGTCACTACAAATTCATTATTTTATCATTCGCGTTTCAAACTATCGCGTGAAAATTGTATCTTCTAACTTCGCAACATCAGAATTCTCGTCCTTGCATCCAATCGCTACCGGGTCCAAGTATCTGCTCCGTTTGTTTATTCTACGCGCCATTCATTTGTCTCAGAATCCTGCACGAACTAGTTCCCAAACGCGTCTCTTCTTCTTCAGTGCATGTGAGTCCATCATTCGACCACTACACATTTTCTGAATGGTCATGTAAACATTTTCGCCAATTTATCCCCCCCCCCCTACGGAATTTGCACGCGTGTCCTTATGTTATTTCACTTAACAAAACATTTTCTATTTTACTCGCTGTTGTTTATGTTCATATTCCCTTGCGTTATCTTTACATGGTTCACTCCTTGGTTTATTTTCTGTCCTCCATTGTTACTATGTTCGTATTTACTTTTGTCATGTATAATTCTGATAACTTTTCTTTTCCTTTGTGATAACCTCTAACAATACATCTCGAATCCATACGCATGAAGAAAATATCATCTTCCTTGTCTTCCGAAATTAGAATCAGTAGGTCTTCTTGTAGTGGAGTAATCTAAAATTGTTGAAGACATCAAAGTGTTTGGAATTAGTGTTCGGAGATGTGGATGAGACTGCTAAGGAGAAATTACATAGTGTTAAATTCAAATCGTGACTTGAAATTTCTCCAAAATGTAAAAACAGTCATATGCGGTGATCAATCAGAAAATGCAGAATTTGACCTCGCATTGGTTCATATTCCGTTTTTGTAGTATCTTCCAAGTATCAGGAGAGGTTGCCACTCAACACTTTCGCGCCAAACATCGTGACGTCATTCTGAACATCTTTATTATGGTTTCAAAGATTTTGCATTCTTCATTTGCTCAGTTAAAAGATTCTGGAAGAAACAAGAAATTACCACTGGTTAACATTGGATCATCTGGAAAGCACCAATCGCACGATATCGCACAGAATCGCACCAATAGATAGCTGCAGCAAGCTGCAGTCAGATGACAATAGTGTAGTATATGGGCTGCAATTGGCTGCATTTGCAGTGATTTGCTGGGGAAGCCCAGTACTATTGTGTGCGCTGGTGTGCGCAGTTCGTAACCACAGGCAACCATTATTATCTGCTCTGCTCTCCTGATATTATAGTTGTAAACAACTGTACATTCACGTATGTTTCATGTTTATGTTGTCGTTGTGACCAACCTGTCTTGTAATTGTTACCTGTTATTTTGCAAATAAAATTTCGTTCACCCTCCACAACCGACTGTCGACGTTTTTGTTGCAACAATCGTATTTTATGCTTCTAGATAATTTTTGAAACGTGCTACTGCCGGAGTAAACGCAATTTCATGTTCAAAAGCCCTATGTCCATCAGTGTTTGACCGAAAATTCGTATCTACGATTCTGGGAGGTTAGTTTACACTCTGGAAAATAATGCAACTTATGGGAAAATGAGAAAATGTGTAGTGTGACTATTGTATTCTGTGTTCAGTATTCGCTTTCAGATATCTTGAATTAGCTTGAATGATCTTTGTCTAATTTTTTCTATATCATTAAATAACATTTTCATTGACAAGAAATGAGACCAAATTTTATTGTGAATAACCTGTTTTGCATTAAACAGGGACGCATTTCTCACACGTCAAATTGAGGATTGTTGTTTTTGCTTTTTAATGTTTAATTCATATATTTTTCCTTAATATTTTTAAAGGCTCTTGTAGTGTGCTACACAAGTAGTGAAGATAATTATGGCCACAAATCCAGATTTATTGTTGAAACGATTTCTTCATTATGGACGAGAAACATCTTTATATCAACCTGGAAATCGTATTTTAAATAAGTATTTTGAACCTAATTGCATTACCTCAGTTGAAGCTCTTATAGCTGATGGAAGACCAGCAGATGCTGTTGTTCACATTGTGAAGGTATATTCTAGATATTTCTTCTGTGCTTGTATGTATGAATCTACACCTTATCAAATTTTAGCATAATAGATTTTATGATCAAATAATTTTCTCGTACAGGCATTCAGTGATGGTTATTCTGCCCACTCAGAAGCTCTGGTTTATGCACTAGCTTGTTGTGTGCGACAGAAGTCAAATGATGCTCTACGGCAGAATGCGTATAAAGCTTTCAAGAAAATATGCAAGTCAGTGCAGAACTTCTTTCTTTTTGTGAAATTTTCTACAGAGCTATCGTCTCCTACCAGAGGTATAATAATTCATTTTTAATATTTTGTAACAGAAATTTTAATTCATCCTTCTCCTAACCCTGAAAGTAGTATGTTTCTGATGGTTTATTGTCAACACTGTTATCTTGGTTATTTCTTCTGAAACAGTTTGGTGTACATTTTGAATATTTTAATACTTTGAAATTCCAAAATCACTTACATCAACGTAATGACATTGAACTTAAAAATATTACTTCAATTTTTTATTTTATTTACTTCAACCCATTACTACCCATAGGTTGCTAATTAGTATGTGGAACGTAGTTTAGAGATTAAATTTTTTCTTTAGTAATTCATTTCGCACAACTAACTATGAAAGAGAGGATGCAAAAATTTGGGGTTGTGTCCAGACAGAAATTTATGACGTGCCTGTTACTTTTATTTTTATTGTATTGTGGAGATTCATCATACACATATATTTTATTGCATATTAATCCATTAATTTCAAATATGCATTTTGTACCGTACGTAAGCTAAATATTTAGAGATATGATATTTTGCACAATGAGTATGAACAGGTTCATCAAGACCATTCATTCCTGAAAAATTTTTTTTTTTTTTGCACATGTTACCCATTCTTGTTGAATCTTAGATACAACTTGTATACAAAATTTCCATTTACGTAATCATGACTGAGCAACTCCTCCAAGATGACAAAATTGTTACAATTGTGCATTAACATGTGTCTAATTTTTACTTTCTCGTTACTGCCTACACAGTAGAGAGATAGTTATGTAATACTGCAGGAAAAATCAACGAATTTTCAGCAGCAAAACTTGTATTGCCGGTCCCAAGTAATGAAAAGTGGATCCAATTCGTAAAGGTAGAGGAAAAAATCCTCTAAAGTTGTGTAGCCAGAATCCGTGTTTTGTGAATCCTTAATACCGAAAAATCGATTAACTGCAAATCATCTTACAATATTAAAGAAATAAATTTTTTCCCCAAAATGAAATCTGTTTTTTAAAGATAGGTTTTGAAATAAGGTCATGTTCAATTTTCAAAAATTTTGAGTGCATTCCATGTAATAGCATTTAGGACACTGAAGAGAATAGTGCAGATCTCATATTCGTTAAAAGTTTTTTGTTGAAAATAGTTATAATTCAAAATGTTTTCAGTGTGTTCCTACAACTGCTATTGAAAAGATAAAGCTTTTGTCCTTAAAAATGTGTTGATCAAACACATGTTCAAATAAGGTTTTTCAATTTTTCCAAAATATGACTATTTTTTGAGAAAATTAAGTGTCTGATATGGGCAATTTTTATTTTCTTTAAACCATTTATTCGTGAAAATGGCACTGACATTTGTTTATGTTTGGACCTTAGATAGGGTAAAGGATGCTTAAGAGAATGGTGCAGGTCTCAAGTTTGTTGAAATGTCAGAAATTATCATTATTATTTTTATTTTATTATTATTGTTATTATTATTATCATTATTATTCTTATCATTATTATACATTTCACAGTGGGAAGTTAAACAATTACATTAGAATATATTGCCCATTTTGCAGTTGTCAATTACCGTTGCAACACCATAACAGCTTAGCATGATGTAATGTATAATAAATAAATCATGTTTTGATTTTTCAAAAAATTGACTGCCCCAGCCGGAAGTAGAACCCAGATCTCCCAGTATGCCTAGTTCCTGGTACCCTAGTTCCCTCCACATGAGCGACCGGGGCAGTGAACTCTTCATGCAGGTCGTTCGGAGCCTGTTTGAAGAGTTGGTTGTCTTGCTTTTGAAATCCCCCCCCTTCTCTTATCCTGCGAAGTGAGGGTCCAAGACAACCTGCATGGCTAATGGCCATTAGGATTTCTTAGATCCATTGTGTAGGTTGGAAGTTACAGGTTCATCTTTTAGAACCCTCTTTTAATACTTAATGATAGTTTTGTCTTTCAATGGATGTTTAGAAAAAATAAAACCATGTGTGATCGCTTTGTGGGAACTGCAGCATTCTCTTTCAGCCAGGTCTCCCCATAAACCAGTTGCAATCTGTCTGTGTGTCTCTCTATGTCCATCTCTCTCTCTCTTTCTGTCTGGTGTGTCTATCTGTTTCTTTCTCCCTCTGTCACTCTGTTTCTCTCTCTTACTTATGAACGTCACTGTCCTCTGTCTGTCTGTCTGTCTCTCTCTCTCTCTCCATCTACCTGTCCCTGTCTGTCTGTCTGTCCGTCCTTGTCCCTCTCTGTTTCCATCTCTGTCCCTGTCTCCCTAACTGTCTCTCTCTGCCCCTGTCTCTTTCTCCCTCCGTCCATCTCACCGTGCCTCTCTATGTCTGTCACTCTGTCTGTATTTTTTGTGACTATCTGTCACTGTTTCTCACTCTCTCTGTCCCATATTCAAACAGTTTTCCCAAACTAACTAAAGTGATACAAATAGGAACCAAACAATACAACTACTTACCAAAGTGTGTGAAAATACATTCAAACATCAGAAGACAGCTTTCTCTGTACATGCAACTTCTGAAACTTTATCGCAAATGTAAATAAAATCAGTCTTCAACATGAATTAGTTTCAGTGTCATGATTGTGTAAAACTGCATGTCAAACTTGCCTGCACTTTATCTGATAAAGACACCCAAATAAATACAAATGAAAGTATGTTCTGTTATGAGTTAAATTATAAATTAAAATGACCAGATGTCCCTAAATATTGAAAGAAAACTAAAAAGCAAAAATATTGAACCTTTGATTTTTCATGTTGACTCCTTAATTTTTAAGAGCACTTCTATTCAGACATGCTGTTCTAGGGATTTAAATGTTATCCTAGTTATAATAGCATGCATATTACAAACAATGTGGTCATTATTAACCACAAAGCCGTTGTCATCATCCCATCCTCCACATCATTTCCTCCCATACATCGTCAAATTATTAACTAATGAAATTGATTGTATAAATTGTATCGTAAACATAAAGTAGATAGTACCTATGTAGCGTATAATATGAAAAGTAGTAAACAAAGTAAGTTTGCAATACTTTCAGCGAAAATAAACTTATTTGTGATTTCTTCTTGAAGACGTATGGCTACCATGGCAAACAATGGTATATAGATCTGATATATGTAGTATATCTGTATATAGATAATGTACTTTAGCTTCCGGGTGAATGACTCCATCTCGATCAGGTTTTTGTCCAGTTTCCCTGATCCATTGAGCAAATGCTGAGATTTCCCATTGTTTTGCTTCGGGATGTAAATGTAGCTCTACTATACACATGTTTTGTTGAACTCTCCTTTTGCTTGTAATGGTAGGAGTAGAAGTAAAGGCAAACTACTATTGTGTTAGCAATGCAGAAAAATCATACTTGCAATTGTTTACCGATGCAAATAAATTTTCTGTGACTTGGAATTTTTTTTTTTTTTTTCCTGATATTGGTAATCTTGTACCTTTTAAAAATTTATTTCTATTTCTTAATTTTAAACTTTTACTGATTTTTCAACCATTTATAGTTAAAATGATGGGAAGGGATTCTGGAACTCAAGAAAATGTGTGCTGATAATCTCTCCCATACATCACATACAGTTTTTACTGTTTTTTGACTGAATAAATCTAAATCTAGATATGAATAGCATAATACTAAATCAATTTATATCAAATGTGAAACTATTATAATAAATAAATGACTTCAGCTAGACTATATACTTATTGTAAATTAGGTATTTGTTAAATTGATAAATTAAATAATGTAAACTAGTATTTTATTCAATACTTTTTCATTTAACTTTCTATGACCTGAAATAGATGATCCGAGCAATTGTGGTACATTCAAAATGTATGTTTGCTGTAAACTTGCAAAGCACAAATTAAACTTTTAAACCTGAAAATATCTGCTGGAGATGCTATGATAAGCTGGAATAAATGTTTTTAAGCTTTGCTGCTTTTTTCTTATCCTCATGGAGTTTTCATGGTAATAAATTCTGTCCATTTATCAGTAGAATAAAACCTCTCTGTAAGATTGTATTTAGGACTAAGAAAATTTTAACTCAAGAGAGCAGTGCACTGTAGAGAAGTTGTGACAAAGAAGTTTTCCTCCAGATCTACAAAATTGCCTGCTATTTATAGATGATCAGTCATGAAATGAAGGAATTTACTTGTATGTTTTTAGTTTTATGTATAATTTAGATTATATAAGTTAACTTTTTTTACATAGGTTGGGGCCATGGATGTCGAAAAGTCGTGATTGACTGGTATGTGAAGCAAAATCCCCTTGAATTGGCTGAAAATGTAACTCGTTATCGTGGAATATATTTCTGGACACATCGTGACATAATAAAACTTGCTCATCCAAAAACAGAAGATGTTGGTAAGTGTTTCTATTACTGGTTGTGAATATCTCAATCCATACATTAATTGGAGTACAAAATGCATATTTAGGGACAGTGCCTATCAATAACTTATTTTTTTTACCATGTGGTTAAAGTAAAAAAATTCGAAAAATGTATGTACAAGAAGTATAATATTAAGTAACTGTTTGAAATAATGCATGAAATGCAGGATAATGTATGTTCTGCTCTAGCACTGCTAGTGTACTCTTGTGTGAGGCTGTTATTGGTGGTAAATATTGAAAACAAAATCAGTTTGATTGATCCAGCTGAATACAAAATTAAGAGATTTAATTATTCATCAATTGGAATATTTGTATGAATTTTATTTGTTTAATATTTGCTCTATCACATTTTGAAGTAGACTGCAAAAAGATCAACAGCTTCAGGTGTTCAATTTCCAAAAGATATTGGGTTATGTTGATTGTTATTGAACTTCTTTTCCTGTACCTTAATTCCTGTTTATATCTATTTGAACTAATGGTTTAATTGCATTGATACAACCTGTCCTTATTTGGAAATATTTTTTGCATTGAACTCTAGTAACATAATTAACTTTATCAGATGTTTTATTAGAAAATGCATGTTACGTATTTGCAATCCGCTTGTGAAGCTGATGATTGTTCAATTTACTGTTATTATTTCTAAATCCTCAAAGGTATTGTTTGAATGTGTACCTAGCCAACTTGGTTTTTGAAATTCAACCTTCTTATACTCTTTAAGATCATGCAATCATATAAGCCCTACCTTCAATTTTTTTTTCAATCCCATCTTGCATCTGGAGCGCTTGGATCTTGTTAAGCTCTAATAGTAACAGAACTTATAGGAATGTGCATTGTTTGGGTCAGATATGACTCGCCAATTTTTTAACATCACAATTTCTTTACTATTATATATAGTTACAATTATCTTTCTTTGTTATCCTTGCCTTGTAAAGATGGATTACAAAAAGTGTTCTCCACTTTTCACCACTCTCAAATATTTATGACATTTTACTTTTTTTATATTTTTTTAAGCTATGAAAGCTGTTTTGAAATATGTCATGAAGGGTATAAAGGAAGCTCGTGAAGAATTTGGTGGAAATCCTCTTGCTCAGCCAGTTCTTACCTATCTGCAAGCAGTGGAAGATTTTAAACACAGCAAGGAAGAAGAATGGGCTGCTAGAGTGGTGGAGCAACACAAACTGTGTTTGGAGCATGTGCCTCCACAGTTTATAAAATCAAAAGAGGTTAGATAAATATTAATTCGCTTTTCTAAATTTGATATAAATAGGGTTAGACATTTTTTGTATGATTATATTGTAGGGGACAAATAAGTAGTTTGCTTAGCTTGGATATTTAAGATCTATCTCGACCCAACTGAAAATGATGTTTGTAGGAGCATCCACAGTCTGTGTTTACAGCCAAAGTGACAGAGATGGAGATATAAGGATACTGAACTCAAATTACAAATGGGTTTGTGCCAAACGGGGGGAGCGCAATATATTTCATCTCAAATCTAGCATCTTCCCAATTCATATTTTAACTGTATTTGGACGTCTGCACCTCATATTGGAATAAATAAAATTTTACTCTTCTCTGCAGAATGATTCAAAATTGTGAATGTATTTATTTCTTGAGCAGAAAATTTTGTACTGTAATATTCATAAGAATATTTTTATTTAACTTCAGTAGTTTCTCAGAAAATATACGAAATAAAATGCTTTTTCATGTTAAAAGCAACTACTACATTAATGAAGAAAATTGTAGATTCATATGAAAGTAAATTTGATGTTTTGGTACTTTAAGCAATTTGTTAGGAATGTCATCTTAAAAGATTATAAATGAATCTTTTTTTTTTAATTCAACAAAAAAGTTATTAAACTTCATTATAAAAAGAAAGCATTATTTTGATTATATTCTCGTAGTGGAATGGTAAATAATATATTTAAAAACAAAAATTTTTAAACAAAGTAACTTAAAATGGCAAAAATAAAATAGCGAGTGCAAATCTTGCATTATGCATCTCTGATTCTCTAGAAAATTTATCAGTCTCTGATGCCGTTAGAGTTTTCTGGCTTCTGTCTGAGAGAGTGACGTAGATGATTCACTGTCGCTTTCCGGACCAACACTTATTACGAGGTCATCAACAGGATTTTCAAGAAAAGCATCCCTATCCCAGTATTCTTTTGCTATTTTGTTAGTGTGAATGACAGGTTTTTTTCAGTCTTCAATAGGTTGTTTTGCTCACTTTTGTTTGCAGTAACACAAAATTTAATTACATTACAGGCATCGGGCCTGCTCGCAAAGTGAGAACTCGTATTTCCCAAAGCTACACTGATAAACAACTCACTTCATGCTCCTCATGACTTTCATTAGCAAAACTAATTGTATAGACCCGTATACATACTGTTAGTTCCACGATGTGTTGCAATCACCTGCTTTAGCATTTGCTTGGTCAAGTAAGAACAAAAATGTCTCGATGAAAAAATCTCTATTTCTTAGAAATTCAAATGGTAAAATTATACTTAGTTTATATTAATATAAATTAAAACAAATCATTAGTCATTCACACTAAAAGTTCCACTTTGTGTGGTGTTCATTACTTTGTGTAGAGTTTTATAAACAGTATTAATTTTTACTGTGTCATGGTATAGATCACATAGAAGAGGACAAGCATAGAGAATTCAGTACTATAATATGGGTTGCAAAACAAATGCAACCATAAAATGTTTGCATAAGTGTATGTGAAGACTTGTCCATTACACACATTTTTGCAAACCATTTCCACAAACAAAATTAGTCTAATTAAATGTTATAATCCTACTAGGTACCTTGTAAGAAACAAACAAATTGTGAAGTACTTGATCATTGCAAAAATATACTTTTGTATTCAGTCATTATAAGAACAGTAACAGTAATGTTTATTTTTATGGTCATAGCTTATAATCAACAGAAGAAAATCTCGTTCATGTCTCAGGTTTCCTGCATGTGCTGGAGAGTCTGGTGAAAGAGATAAAAAAGGAGTTGTGAAGTCTTGATATGGTTTGTCAATGCGTTATTTTCATGGTTATTTAGTTGAACAGATTTATTTCATTTTTTACCACCAAAATAATTGCTGAAGAAGCAAATTTATCAATAAGGAACAACAAAGATTTGTCAAAAGCCTTTGACATCTTTGACCATCATATACTTTTAAGAAAACTAGAAATGCTAGGAATTTGAGGCATTGCAGGCCAATGGATCAAATCATATTTATCAAACCGTAGACAAGTAGTTGCCCTCCAGACACACTAAAGAAACAAAATCTCCTCATACTACTCCTGTCCTCAAATAAATAAATTGATGAATGTCCCGCAAGGATCCTTCCTTGGGCCAATTACTATTCCTTAAGATACGATAAATGACATGCCTTTGGCTTTAGGAACAACAAAATGAATTTTGTTTGCAGATGACAAACCATTATCAAAGCAAAAAACAACAACAACATTAGAAAAAGAAACTCACAAAACTTTGCAAGCACTAGTAAAATGGTTTTCAAGACAACAAACTCATTCATAAACACCAGCCAAGACAGTCTCTCTTTAAGATTTCATTGGAATTTTTCCTCGATCTAAAGAAAAACTATCACAGCATTTGCTCTATAACAATAACCCTGTAACGATATCTCATGAACTGACCATCGCTCGGACTTACAATTCAAGAAAACCTAAAATGGAACACACATTCTAATCTTAACAAGAAGACTCAGCAAATCTTGCTATGCCTATACACCCTCAGGTCAAGCATCCAACATTTGAGACATTATCGACATGGTATTTGCAAATGTGCACTCACAACCTAAAATATGGAATAATATTCTGGGGAACATGCCCCTGAAAGCACTCGCACATTTATCTATCCAAAAAAGAAATCTTCGAACAATGACTCAGCACTATTAAGCTTGGAGTCTGCAAACCCTGTTTAGATAAACCTCAAGGATCTTTCCTCTACCACTGGCAATGCACATATTTGAGAATAGTGGTCTTCAGAACAGAATTCTCATGGAAACAAAGACCAGTTTTTACTTATAATTCTGACAGTCATAACTACAACACCCGTCAAAAGGATAATACCTACCACGTTCCCCACTCTGAAACTACATTTTATCAAAAAGAACCCTAATAGAGGGCATTACACTTTACAAGCACAAACTAGGCAATGATATCAAAGACATTAAACACAATTCATACATTTAAAGTAAATTGGAAAGCTTTCCTGCTAAAACATGTCTACAGTGTAAAAGGATTTTCAAATTAATTTCCTTAAAAAAGTATAAATAATAAGAATTCATTATCCATTTAGACTTTCTGTTTCATAGTGAACTGTTTAAGCTGAAGCAAAGAAAAAAGAACTACATTATCACCATCTGTGAAATAGAAGAAGAAAAAAAACTAGGTCAAAATTTGCTCTTCACACAATTCAAGTTATAAATATAGAAGTACTACTATTGTTAAATTTGATGTAGTTGCAAACATAAAATTGATATGTATTGAGTTAATGTAATTATTATAAGTACGTAGCCATTAAAATATATTGAAATGTTAATCTATTAAGCAGATATTTATCTACGAATAATATCTTAATCTAACTGTAAAAAGTATTGTATTTCTAGCGCCAAAGACCGCATCTTCGATCAGCGTTTTGGTTCAGATTTCCCTGATCCTCTTGAGCAAATGCTCGAGATGGCCGCTTGTTTGCTCTCTGAACAGTGATATAATTGTCGCTCCTCCACCAAGGCATCATCTTGACTCGTAATACACGATTGTAAGTAGTATATGTGACTCAATAAATATTATTATTATTATTATTATTATTATTATTATTATTATTATTATCAAATAACCAATAATGTTTTATTATATTTCTTTTTGTTTAATTTCAATTGATATTCAAATATGAAGTTTTTCAGTTGAGACTTTATTTGTTTTAATTGTTTTCATATTAATAATTTTCAATTTCCTCCTTGCATTCTTTAATTCTGCTTCACTAGAGATCTAGAAACGAAATTGTATCATGTTCATGTTTAGCATATTACTTATTGGTGCTCAAGCATTATTATTATTATTATTATTATTATTATTATTATTATTATTATTATTATTATTATTATTATTACTACTATTATTATATATTTATTTTCAGGTTATATATTTTTGTTGAGTTGTTTGATCCAATCTTCAATTATCACTTAATTAGGTGTTATTTATCAATAAATGCATTAAAGTTTGAGTTTGAAAACAATTATAGTGTGATTCGTGTAATATTTCAAAATAGTGTTCTCTGTTTCAAAAATCTAATAGGCTCAATTTAAAGATGTATTTTTACGTAATGAAATATTGTGTGTTTTGTAGGTGTGGGCTGCTCTGATACCCAATATGCCCCTTCCTACATTGCTGCGAAATCTTAAAAGACTTGGCCGACTAAGATTTTTACGCACAAATCATCCTGTAATGATTCGTGTTGTGGAAGCTTTAGGTAATCAAGCAGCCATAACAGAGGGTTCAGTTCATCCTGCTCAAGTTCTAATTGCTCTACGATCATATGAGCAATCAGGAAGGTAGTATAGTTTGCTTTGGTTTTTGTTGTTGATTTTTAATGTCGAAAAAACTGATATCTGATATTTTTAATAATCTCTGCCAGATTGAAGTATGTGGATCCTAACCGTGAACTAAAACCATTAGTGCAGCCAAATCCCAAGATTATTGAAGCATTAAATACTCTCTTAGAATCGTCTTTCAAGGTAATGACACACATCAAGTTTATAGATTTTTCTGATGTATCAATTTTAGATCTTGAGCACAATCTTTTTTATATTAAGGATTCTGTATTGTTATCTGGGAATAATAAAATACAGTAAATTCTGTCCAAGTTGGAATCAATTGGGACACAAAAAAATACAGTTTAGAAAGGTTTCTGTTTTATACAAGGTTGGCCATTTGACTGGTGATATAGATGTTTCTGCCCTGAAAGTAGTAAATTACATGACTTTTTATAATTATGAAAATACATTTACATATAACATACTTATCGAAGAAATCACCAATAAATGAATATTGAACATTCTTCAGTAACAGCGTGAGTTGAAAAATACACACCACCTTACTGCCCAGCGACTGTATTTCCTCGCTCAGAGAGTCTGGAGATGGAGTTACCCTATGGCCCATGCCTTTGGAGACAAGCGATCCCAAGGTCTAATTCTCTACTGACAGTTGAAACCGTTCTCCAATGTTTGGCTGCCATGACTAAATCGTGTGTCACAGGGATAGAGTATTCAAAACAGGCTTTGCTGATGTATGCATTTCATTAAGAACATCTCATGACTCTCTGCCATTTGCATTAAATTCGCAGGAATTTTGTTTTGTAGAGATTTTTTTTTCCCTGCAAAACCATTTGCTTTTGATGTTGCAGAGATTCCGTTTTACGCTGTATAAAATGCCATTTAACATCATGGGTCTGACAAGTTTTCCCGTTAAGACAGATTCCGATTTAGACTGATTTTACTGTATTTTGAATCTTTTCTTTACCTCATTTATTGTTAAATCTGTAGAAATTTTCTATAATAATTTTTCTTTATATTCTCTATTCTGAGGAGTAAGCAGAATCTTTATTTTCATTCTGATTATTTTTGTTTATGATATTGACTGCATATCTCTTCCTTTTTTGCCTTTTGTTATATAGCTTATCTTGCATTTGTACATATCTTGGGTACAGCTGGTGCAGGTGGAGCCCTAACGAAAATGACCTATTGAATCAAAATTTTATGACTATTATTTGTTAATGGTAAATGAATTACTGTTTCAGTCACTCGTGCCAACAGGTTTAAGATACCTCGTGATGGTAGATACACGCTCTCCTCTTGTAACAGGACACTGCTGGCAGTGCACTAGTGTTCCTCCTCTTCATGCAGCAGCTCTAATTGCTCTTTCACTAGTGAAAACGGAGCGCAATGTGACAGTGCTGGCATTTGGTTTGGGTGTGCCAACAGATGTGCCACTTTCCAAAACTATGACTCTGGTTCAAGCTCAAGAAAAGTTACGAGAGGTCAGTATGTTTTTAGTGAAATTCAATATTTAGTGTATTTGTGTAATATATTACATATTTAATACAATGCAATATTACCAGCTACAGCTTCTGCACAGTATATATTTCCTATGCGTAAAATCGGGTGGAAAGGATTGTTTAGTTTGTGATTATGTTGCTATCTTGTGACGGACATTTGTTGTCAATTGATTTTTTGGTATCAAGGACCCACAAAACACAGATTCTGAGCACAGAATATGTTAGAGGAAGTAATTTACTGCACATAACAAAATTTATCCCCTTTCTGGTCACCAAGTCCTGGCAATAAGAGTTTTTCTGTTGAAAATTGTCAGGCAGAAATGCAGGTTTCCTGTTGCATAGTATGGTCATGTTCAAAACTATCTGTTAATTTAACCAAAGTTGGGTACTAAGTGATAATACAAACAACAACAATAAACCAGCACCAATATTCAGTGTTATGAAGTCAGTAATCAAAAATCTTTAAATGTAATCTCTCTTAAAATTAATTTCAAGTGAGAATGTTTGGACTTATTCTGCCAGTTCAGTACCATTAGCTGCTTTTAAACGGTAATTGGTGTCTTAAAAAGGTTTATTTTTCTGTGAACAGACTCTGTCAAACCAGTGTCAAATAAAAAGGATATTTGCAGTCTTGTGTATAAATTGAATTGGTGGTTACTTCTGAGTTGCCCTTCATCTGCTATTAAATTTGTAAGGCCTATTAGTTTTGAGATAACTGTTGGGTGTGCTGCTTTTGGAAAAAGAACATTCATGACACTAAAGAAGTAAGAACTCTTTATCGAGATCAATGTAAAAATCTGGAAGAAAATACAGCATATTGATTGCATACTTTCAAAAAGTGATAATGTTACCACTGATAAGACACCTTCAAAAAAGTGTTATTTACAAAACGTTTAACAGTCTACCATGAAAGTTTTGTCCTCATTCGAATTAAATCACCCTTGACACCATTTGCCATTTTGTGAAGCTGTCTGTGAGAAATAAAGATGACCTTGTAAGTTCTTTCTACTATTTTCTAAAGTACTACAGTGATGCAAAGACTAGTGTCATCCGGCTTGATAATTGTTCAGGCCAAAACAAGAATTGGGGTCTACAGTTTTTTTAGTCAAGATTGTAAACTCACATGAAATAGCAGCAGAAACCATCAATTTCAACTACTGTGTGGCTGGCCATACTTAAATAGCAGCCAACAGCTTTCATTCCAATGTTGAACAGTAACTGAAACATTAGGGTAAAACCTACTTTTTCCAGGATTTCTGTGATAATGTAAAATCATCCAGACCTTTCATCAAAATAAAACAAATGAACTATTCAGGGCCTTATCATACATCACAGTCAAAGCTGAAAAGTGATCCCAACCATGCGTACTTTTCTGACATTTTCTGGCACAATTCAAAGTGTGTTGTGGAAAGTCAAGTTTGATATTTTTTAAAGTCCCACTCAGAAAGTTCTATAACAGATTTAGTTTTTGATGAAGCCGCTATGTAATATTGCACTTTTGATAATCATAATAGAAGGATGCTAACAATGCTTAGCCAAAATGCAGTAACTACTTTATTTTTTTATTACTACAATGAATAAAAATATTTTTTTATAATTTTTATAAAATAGTATTTAAAAATCCAATTCAACTTAACATACAGTTATATAATTATTGTTACCCTCACCATCAGAACAGCTTGTCAAAGTTAACCTTCTTTTTCTCAAAACTTGGTTTCGTGTAGACACTGCGTTTTACCATGTGAGGGTTTTGGGTAAAAAAGGGTGTTCCTAATAGCAATAAAACCTTTTTATCTCTTTCTAATGCTATTTAACCAGAGAGAGAGAGAGAGAGAGAAAGATATTCTCTAAGAGCAAAAATCAAGAAAAAGAAAATGCTATTAAAAATTTTTCACCAATATTATAGTTACTTGTAGTGTTGGCATTAATAATGTCTATTTTCTATATTGAAAGTAGCTTGCCCATTTTGAAAAAAAACCTTGCCTGTTGATACTAGTAAATAGATAAACGGATAGAACTCTCTATACATATGTGGACATCAGTGTCACAATATATTCTCTCTTCTGGAAAATTTGCTTGATGTACTAAACATAAGGAAGTTCGTACCCCCAATCAGAATAATCATCGTAAGTTGAGTGCTCTGTTGGGTAGATTTCTTGAATACTTCCAGATGTTTCGTGGAGTAGCACTTGCCAACTCTTCACGTGTGGACCATGGGTCACACATGATCCTTCTTTCCCATCCATCTCCTCCAGTCCAGACAGGTATGTCATTGGATAGTACACACCATACCTTCTCCTTTTACAAAATATTTACACTGACAGAGGAAAGGCTACACTGAAAAAAGGATTAAATGGCTGATAATCTGCCCTCAAATCAGCTTTTGATAGAATTTTACAATTTCTTTGAAAACTACACAGAAGGGCTATTCATCTAATGATTCTGCAATAGAACATTTTCTGGTAGTATTTATGCTAAGACATTTATTTAAAATAAATCAATTTCTCTCTTTTATTCCAGTAGTGTAAATACAGAAATGGCTACCCTGCAATAGAGAATTTTTCTTCTGAATGTTTTAACAAATTTCTATGTACAGGTGCCCACTACATCTGTTGATTTTGGTTTGCCATTCTCTTGGGCAACCGAGAACAAGAAAGAAATAGATGTGTTCATTTGCATCACTGATTCTCAAGTTAGGGCAGGCCGCTTGAAGGCAGCTGAAGAGTTAAAGAAGTATCGAGAGAGCCTTAACATGCCAAATTCTAAGTATGTTCAGGATCTTAAGTATTTATTGATTTTTATATTACTGAAAGCATCACTTACTTTTCACCATTACTTCACAGGTTTGTGGTATGTGGACTCACATGTCCAAAATTCAGCATTGCCTCTGAAGATGACCCAGGAATGTTAGATATAGCTGGTTTTGATGAACAGGTACCACGTGTAATAGAAGCCTTCTCAAGAGGTGCATTTTAGAAGATTTTAGTGGTATTTAACATGATCCATTGTATGTTCATGAATGGCCTTGGCTTCAAATGGGTCTTAAACAAATGTGATAAGAAAGACTATTTCTGGGAAATGTTTTAATAATTATAGTGGTGTTTCTGAAGGCTGCAATGTTTTCACAAGTTGTAATATTATATATAATAACAAGAAATTATTTGTTTAAGATATCTGTAGAAGGCAAAAGCTGTTGTCATGTTCGTTGTATGCAGAGTGCAGAGAAACCATCTGCCACTCATTGGCAACATCACTCTTTCAAATCACTGGTGTATGTATTCTTTAGGGCCCATTTGAGCTGAAATATTTGCCTTAGAACATGGTTATTTACAAGTGAAAAGGCCATATAACATGAAATTTTTTGACTGTGTGGAATATTTGCACCTCTTAACAATTTTGTCTCAAGCTGAGTACTAAGCAAGGTCCTTTTATTGAACTTTGGGGAAAATACTTCAGTTCATTTTAAAAAATTATACACATTTCATGTTTGTAAAAATTGACATTTGAGTCACTTTATTTGCCTTTTATGGAATCTCTGGTGCTACAAGAAATTTGGACTTCACTGAAGATTTTCTCAATGAAATGAGAGTTTCTGGTTTCATGATAGGTCATTTCTGGTGTCAGTGTCTGGTCAAGGAGTCAGCAAAATATACAACAGGTATCTCATTAGTAAGTGCATGTGTCTTATTTCATACAAATTTGAAGATGTGTTCTTGAATTGAGTGCACACTTCTTTCCTGTGTACTATAAGATACTACTTTTTCATGAGATATTATCAGTGGGGAAAGCTGACTTTCTCAAAATTTATGCTTTTATATAATTGTTGATTTTACACTACTTATAAGACAGCGTATTTTTGTCTTTCTGCTTTAGTTTGTATGTAAATTTAAACATTACCAGTGAATTATGGTCATGATTGCCAAATGTGAAAGAAAAATGGTGATTTATTCTTATGATAATTATTTGTAATTATTGTATACTAGTTAATTATGTGTATGTTTTTTGTAAGTTTGATTTCTTGTACTATTTACTCCATTAAACTTTTATATCATTTATACTTTTTCTGCCAAAGAAAGGAGTAATTACATTTTTGATGTGCCTAATTTGAACATTAGAAAAGTTTTAGCACACAACTTTTATATATGTTTTGAAGTACGTATTCCACTTTATATTGTGCACAAATTACTTCCTGGGGACCATGGTGCATGAAAAATTTGCATTTAATCATGAATTTCCCAAAGTACTGTTTTAAAGAAAAAATTACAGTAGTTGTTTGTGTAGAAAATTCAATGTGGAGCAGAAGTATAGTATGAAAAGCTCAGTTTAACCTTGCATGTTAAAACTAAGAAAATTTGTAGTAAAAGCATTTGCTAATACTAAGTGAATTCAGTATCAGTACAGTACTGAAAAAATTTCTTACATGGATGTAATATAAAAGTTGTGTAAAAACTTTTGTAATTGAAGTATGATATTTATGATATCTGCCAATTGTGTTTGAAAAAGAAAATTAATTTTCTCGTATTTTGGTGTTTTGCTGTAAAAGGAAAAAAATCACTTTTGTTCAGAGTTGTAACACTACTGAATTATTTTTTAACTGCATAGTCTGGATATTGATTTGGCATAGATGTACAGATTTGTTGGCAAAGAATCCCTGAAATTCAAGCCAAAAAAAAAAAAAAAAGATTTAGTAACACTTTGCTAAAACTTTTAACTGCATAATCTGGACATTGATTTGGCAGAGATACACAGATTTGTTGGGAAAGAATTCGTGAAATTCATCCAGCTTGTATACTTTTGTTCTAATTTTTAAATGTAATAATTGTTGCTAAATATAGTAATAAAAGGAAGATCAAATTGTTACTGTAAAGAAAAAAAAAATTAAAAAATCATGGGTCAAGAAAAGTAAATGCATAAGTTAGTTTTGTAATGATATATTTATCTGTAGTTAATTTATATTCAGTTGTTTAACCATGCTGTTGGTTCATAATATTCATTTTGTTATTTTTGACATATTAATATTAACAATAGAAAGCGACATTTAGTGAGAACAGGGGAAATGTAAATATTCTCCACATGAATAATATTAGTGGCATTTCATTTGGTCATATACAGGTATGAGAAAAGTATTAAAAAAGCATTCTTGAAGTGGTGAATGATCTGTGTTTTGCACTAAAGAGGAGTGAGAAAGAGCAGTTAGCAAATAATAGTGTTCCTTCCTGAAGTGAAGTAATTTAATTCTAATTTGAGGCAGACTGATTGTTATGGTATGTGAATCATTAAAGTAGTTTTATAAATGAAGTTTTTGGCTCAGCAAAAAATCAGTAGTGAAATTTGTTTATTAGAAGCTTTATTTCAAAGATTTCTTGGTAATTTGTTTTAAGACCTGAAATTGTATTGGGTATATTAGCCATTGATTTAAAAGATAAGGCATGCAAATAAGATAAGCAATTTCTGCTTTAAATATATTAAAAAATTGATATCTACTAATTTCATTGTCAGTTTTGAGTTATTTGAGTCTAATGTTTACTTCAAAGAACGGTGAAAGTTACAATTTGATGTGTACTTCTGATCTGTTTTCTTGAGGTTTTAATTTTCCAGAAGCCATAAAGAATGTATGTGAAAGATACTAGAATTATATTATTGGTTTTTAAATGGATTCATTAAGTACATTATTTTAATGATATCATGTGTATAGTTAGAAAAAGTATTAAAGAAATTTCTTTAGAAATAATAAGGATTTTAAGAAACCCAAAATATGCAAAGGTATTCTTTTCTTTGCTTTTCTGTTTGCCTCAAATTTATTGAAATTCATATCGGTGCTTTGTTGTCACAAAATTTCTATTGTGAATGATGAGAAGTGCATTATAATGAAATGTAATATGTAAATCCCTTTCATTAATTTGTGATTATTACTGCTTTTTGTTGAAAATAGGCTTTAATTGCGAAGTAGTTTATTCCTTAAAACATTAAATTTCTAAATACCGTCCATGATACACTTTTCAAGCTGTTCAGTTTGAAAAACATTTGCCCAACTGCTCTTACCCAAATTGAGTAATGGAACTTTGTTCTCTTCTGCAGAAGGACTCCTGTGTTCACTGTACCAATTGTATATTTTTATAGTATGATACATATTTATGATTACAGTTGCACATAATACCTGTGAAATATTAGTGATAGTTACAAAATTTCATGGTGTATGATCTTGTTGATACTCATATTCCCCTTCGATAATTTTATGACCACGTTCTGAGTTGTTGCTAATGACTGAATGGTTCCTAACCAAGTTCATAGAGTTAATCTATAAACTGAAGGATTTTTCTGATCTGTACCAACCGCATAGTCAAAAGTTCTTGAATATTTCAGGAGCTTGTTTTCTAAATTGTAATTGTGTTGATTGAATAAGATCAGTTTCCAGCTGTGATAAAATATCGGAATTGCGTTATTCATTGTAGCAAGATTTTTATTGTAATATCCTGAGATAAAAGTTTTGTTATATTTAATCCCCTGTGAAGTTTAGGTGTTCCATGGGTTCTGTATTCATGTATAATAGCAAGTAAGAAATTCTATAATGACTAGCAAGAGCATTCATTATAAGACTTTTTTGTTTTTCATTTTAAAAGTACATATTGTACATCTCTATAATTAAAAAATTATTTATTTCTTAGGATTAATTTTTTGTACCCAAGACATTTTAACTGGGTGGTCTGAAAGCTATTGAAGTATGTGTTTTATTATGTTATTTATGTTTAATTTTTTGCAGTATTTATATCCATTTTATTCCTACTTTGGAACTTAGTAATATATTTTGTCTTAACTGATGTTTTGATATTCAAAAACGATGCAAAGGCTTCATATGTAATTTTGGTTGTCAAGGATCTGACGACTTAGATAATAAAAGAAAATTTGACATTTTTTCTGAAAAATTCTGGAAAGTTCTGTCTGTAACAGACACCAACTCAATTTGAAGAAATAAATTAAAAAGAGCAGCTAATATGACAATGATTTTTTTTTTGTTTTATAAAAAGTGAAGAATCAGGATATTTGTAGTAATTATTGTGTCATATTTTTATAAGTTTAATTAATAAAAAATTAGAAGCAAGTAACTCTGTTTCATGCATTGTAACTCAAGTGAGTAAACAAAATTGTTTAATTCTTGTGTTGTAATTTCTTTCTCCCTACTTTGTTAGTTATCCTGCTCTTTTCAACTGGCTTTTAGTTTTATGTATAACTTGTTTCTTTCTTTAATTCTATCTCTGTTTCAATTTTCTCTCTGACATATACCATAATTTTTGTATTTTCGCTTCAATTTTGAAATAAAAATTTACTTGTTGCATAAACAAATGCAATTTGTGTTTAAGAAAAAAAATTGTAAATAAATTCCCTGTTGAAACCATTGGATTATAATGTTGAAAAAAAGAAGAAAAAAAAAACAAAAAACTCAGGATTTGATATCAAAAGTTAACCAAGTTTTCCGTGATATTTTTCATAAATTTACCGTTTCTTTTGAAATTTCTATTCACTTTCCATTTGGGAATTATGAATTAAGTAAAGAGAAAAATTGAAAAATGTCAAAATACATCAGTCCCAGTCGATGTTACTTCCTTGTATATATAGTGGTATTGTAGAGTGCATCAAATTCAACTATAAGACTAGGGGAATAAAACAAATAGAACAGTTCATACTTTTTCATTGTGTTTATATGAGTTAAAAAATATTACATTGCAACATGTATCTTACTAATTAATCAGTCATCTCTTAAAAACCTCACTTCAACAAATGAAAAGCAGAAGATCCGAATGTGTGCTATCATTCAAGCCCTTCGCTGAAAAGAGTTTTGTAAGGAATGGAACGATTTGTAATATTATTAGTGTTACATAATTGTAACAAAAGGTGAGTGTATATTGCAATACTAGTTTTCATTTCAACTTGTTTATTAGGGTCCTTATTATACTTGTTTTTACAAAAAATATTTTTAAATTGAGCTAGGTTTTTATAAAAAGATTTTGATTTTTATAAATAATAGTTGGTTAAAAGACACCATTAAGTGTAAGTTAATTATTCAATTAATATTCTTTCTCATAATAGTTTGTTTACTAATTTCTTTGCTCTGGACTAGCCACATTCTCTAGCCAGCTGCTATCTATAGCCACCCAAAGTACATTTTTTTGAAGTTTTTTCAATATTTCGGTTTTATAATAGAACTGAAAAATACTTTGAGAATATTATAGAAGAGTAAAACCTCTTCATTAAAGGAAAAATTCATTGACAAATTTAGAGCTGTTTATGTAAACGTAACTGTGAACTTTTTCCCATAAACAAAGCCTTTTTCACATAAATCTTTTGAATTTTCGAAAAACTTTTTTGGAAGTCATTTCAATGTTGGAAGTCAATAATGCAATAATGTATACTTATTGCTGAAAATGTGCACATCAAAGGCATGGGAGATATTTAAAAAAAATCGATTTGTGTAATTTTTGAAAAAATATAAGATTACAGGAAAATACATTTTATATTATCTTAAACAGTGCAATTCACAGTAAACGTACAAAAAGTTTGAAGAAAAATGTGGAGGCGTTTTTGAGAAAATGGCGTTAGTGAAGAAATCGCTGCTAATGAAAAAATTAATGAAGTGAGAGGTTAGTCCTAAAAATTAAATTTTGTAATTTTGGGAAAAAAGTATAGAGTAAAATGCCGTTTGTCATCTCATCAAGTACATTTAATACTATCCCTATCAAAAATTTAAAGAATATATTTTGAGCTGTTTTTGTTAATTTTTAAAATTGTACATTTCGCTTCCGATATTGTGGCAAAACTACTGAAATGTTCAAAAAAATGTACATGGCCTTAACAAATTATGGAGAACAAATTTCATTTGCAGGAAAATTTTCTACCTTCAATTTTGTAGTGGTAGAACAACAAAAATATTCAAACTTTTGCATTTATAGAAAATTAAGAGTCAACAGTAAACATTCGGACGTCTCATGTTTTGGTAACAAACCCTGATATTTCGAAAACTAAATAACAACCAACATTTTTTGGCATCATCCAACAACTACAATTGTGAAGATAAACATTTTTCTTAATGAAATGTGTACATGAAAAACATCTAAAAATAATATCATGTTCAATTTTTCAAAAAAGATGAGTATGTTTTGCGAAATTTTGAGTCAAACATTGGCAATTTTTATTTTTTTTAATACTTTTTTCTTAAAAACAGCTCAATTTTTCTGTTTAAATTGAGATCTTTGTTACCGTAAAGGATGCTTAAGAGAATGGTACAGGCCTCATGCTAGTTGAAATGTCTTGATTTTTCAAAGGAAAAAAAATAATAATAATAATAATAATAATAATAATAATAATAATAATAATAAAAATTCATCATCCTAGAAATACCATTGTGAAGATATATTATTTTATTTTTCTTAATGAAATGTGTTAATAAAAAACTGATCTTAAAGAAGGACTTTTCTTTAAAAAAACATGAGTATTTTTGGGAATTAGGTGATAAACACCGTTGTCTATATATATATACACACACACACACGGGAATAATATTCAAATTCCATTCTTTATTATAATTTTCTGTTTTTCCTTTTATTTTATTTTTGTATTATTATTGTAAACCTTTGAAATTATTACCATAGAACTTGTTTGATATATGCAATAATCTTTCATTGATCAACCAACATACTTGTGATGAAGTATTATTATGTATATTATTTGTAGGTTTTTGAATTGTTATTCCAAGTTTAAAAAGAAATTACAAATTGTTACATTTGTAGACTTTATTCTTGTGGCAGTTAGTATCACACATATTAACAGTAATATCTTATTACACAATTTTTGGTATCACTTTATACCAGCCGTTTTTTTCTAATGTTTCTTTTTGTAAATATCTATTCCCATCTTCCATCAGATGAACATTCTAAACAGAAGATTAAAATGTAAGAAATAAGATATAATTAAATGTTTCATTTCCTCAATTTTAATGTGTTGGATAATTAATTATTTAATTTATTTGAGTACATGTGTAGATGCACCGTGGTCTTGGAAAAACTCTGCTTCAGCATGCATGCTGCTAGCTCTCTTCTCTCATTAATTGTCACTGCTCCAATATAAACAAGTAAAAAAAGTGTGTTAAGTAATAGTAACTTAATTTTCATTCTCTCATTACTTCATTTTCCAAATGGAAACTTGGGAAAATCCTGGAGTGAAGTCATCATCTCTCAATGGATACTCAATTAAACACTGAAATTTATTTTTATATTTGATAAAAGGTAGTCTCCCAGGATCACCAACCAAAATTTGTTTCCCTTTCTTTCTGAGCATGTAGAGCCAGTTGAAAAGAATGGTGGCAAATTCTTCATCATATAACATGTCTCCTACTAAAATGCAATCTGCAATATCATCAGGAGTTCCTATAATGTTTTTTGTATTTACAGAGATACTGACATTGTTCAAATCACAGTTCAGCATGATAGCAAGTCCAGCCACTGCAGAGTAAAATCAGAGTAAATTTCTATAATAAATGCATAGACATAGGGCATGCACACTAAACATTTGTTGATGATTGTTGTATAAAAGTGTAATTATTTTCAAAAGAACAAATATGTTTGTCCATCTTATGACTTATTTTATTTAATAGATATTAAATCAGAGATCATTTTAAAGTTCAAGCTGAATAAAATGATATAGTAGCTACCTGGATCTATGTCATTGGCAGTGACTGTACATGCATTTGACATGGCTGCAGCAATAGCACTTGCACCACATCCACTTCCAACATCTAAAACTCTTTGACTACGTACAAGATCAGGATTATCTAGTATGTACCTATAATAAAGTTAGAGATAAAGAGAGTAAGAGACATTTTTTACAGAAAATGTCAAATTGGTATGGGCTCTTTAGAATCTCTCTTTATAATTTATTATCAGAGGGAAATCTTGCCTAGGTCTAAATGTATTTTGATGCAATGAAGAATTTCTAAAAAAAACTGGATTTAATCAACCATTAAAGAAAATGAGATAAATTCAGTTTGCTGGTACTCTGGAATAAGGGTATTTCCTCCCATAAATGCATTAAGTTAAAAGGAAATACAATAGAGAAGTATATTATCATAAACAAACCTTTTTTGCTCTTCAAATATCTAATTCAAAAACATGTCATTCAATTATATAAAGTATCTTCTTTTCAAAAATTAAAACTAAAACTAACAATATCTTACTGTTCCATTAATGAACTATAAAGATATAATTCACAACTCTAATAAAACTAGTGGTGCAGAAGAGCACTTACTTCCTCAAATTATTTCAAACTTTTGCAAATGTAGGAAATTAAGAAAGTGTAAATCAGACTTATGCCTGACATTTTTTTAAAGATTTGATTCTTAGAACAGATTTTATTTAAGACAAAAATCTCTTTTGATATTGTTGTTTTGCAATGTTATTGTATTTTTTTAATTTTCGAAAATAACGAATTCCCCATACTGGTATAAGCACTACTTATTTTTCACCTTTTCATAACTGTACCTAGTGATAAAGAGTTTATCTGTTGAAAAAAAACCTTTTTTCTGGGGCATGATTATAATATTTTTTCTTTAAATAAAGCCCCTGGAACTTCAAAAGTTTCACAAAACAACTCTGTTTTTTCTTCTTAAATTTCTTGTAAGAATGGAGTGAAATATACTTATAATGTAGCATGGATCCGATTTTCATGGTTACCCGTAAATTGCAAAAGTGCAAAAGAGTTTGAATTTTTTCTGTGTTTGCCTAAAACTACAATATTAAAGATTGAGATTTATTTTGCAAATAACGTTCTCTGCAATTGGTTCTTTAATTAGTATCTTTTTTTTTTTTTTTTTTTTTTTTTTTTTTTTTTTTTTTTTTTTTTTTTTTTTTGAAAATATTAATACTTACCCCGCTTCCTGAAATCAGGTGGATGGCATTTCTTTATTATTTGATTTTTTCTTTCTCGTATACGTATGTACATACAGAGTAATATATGTAGTACAGAGAAAGTTAAGTAATGCAGTGCGAGAAAACTACGAATTTTCGGCAGAAAAAAACATTGTCGGGCCCTTATAACTAAAGAGTAAATAAATCCAGATGTTAAATTTAGGGAAAAAGTCTTCTAACAAGTGGTGTAGCCAAAATCCCTGTTTTGTGGGTCCTTGATACCGAAAAACAAATTGACGGCAAAACGTCCGTCCGTGAACACCACTAGCGCCTAAACCATACGTAAGGCTTCAAAATGGGTATTCTTCGGTCGATTTGGCTCGAGTCGAAGTTTTGAAATTTTGAAAAACATTTTTTTAAAATTTGGCGGCATTTTACATGATGCTCCTGGAACATTTTCAAAATTTTCTCAAAAGCTCTACTGGGAGACGTGGTTCAGTGCATCAACTGATCACTGCAATGCCTGTGACCAGGAGGTCCGAGTCCCGACGGCGGCAGGATTTTCGACACTAGCTTGTCACCTAGGTCGAATTCATTCGATGGATTCACTCGCTGTCTGGAGGAGAATTCAAGCGGTCAACTGTTATGACCGGTAGTTTTCCGTGTTTTTTTCGATCAAAGGGCGAATGCTGGAGCCTAACAAACGGGCCACGGACCACGCGCGATCTTTCCTTCCTCTTCCTTGTCTTATCCTCACACATGCCTGTGTGAGGATACACACACTTCCACTAACATGCAGTACCACACATGCCTGGAGACCAGTCAGTGGCACGCACTTGGTAACGATTACGTAATAATATAATACTGCAATTTTTGTCGGCATAAACACATCTGTCATCACTTGTAAAACACATTACAAATCATGAAACATTGTGTAAAAAGTAATTTTTAAGCTATTATCTCATCACAAATAGGTCTCAGCTTTTCTGTTACCAAGTGACCATTATCAAGGGGGGAGGGGGCTTTGGTTCCCTCCACACCACGTGAATTGCAAATGGCGTATGTCGGGAATTTCCGTAAAGCCAACCACTAAATAAAGTTACAAAGGACGCACAGCAAATAAGAGGGGCTGACGATTTGTCCTGGTCACCAATTTGACACCTGACATGCAATTCATATGTCTTTCTTATTAAGGGAGTAATATTCCGCCTTTTGCTCTTCAATGTTACCTCACCACCACACAAATAACAGAACTTGTTTGAATGGTTTAGACACTGACGCGGTTTTGCAAGGAATCTTTTCTATTAAAACTAGAACGCAATAAATAGATAAGTCGTGCATTATACAAAAATATTAACACCTTTCTCGCTCAACATGTAAGGCGCAACCAGGCGCAACTAACTTGAAGTGACACACGTACACAACGCACCGAGTTGGCGCGTCGTGTACGTGGATCGCTGCAATTCACTTAGCATTGCCCGACGTTATTCATTCCACTGATTTGATCGGTGTGGCATCTATTTCATATCTTGAGTGGAATCTACCATATCACACATTGTTGGCGACCGTCTTGTGATTTACCTGCAAGCAATTAGCGTTTCAGCATTAACGACACGATTATACCAATATGTATATGTGCGACTTCGAGAAATCTGAGCCCGGTGGGCAATATTTGTGGTTGCATTCGGCTTTAGCGTAGCAAAGAACATAAGAAACACCTGCAGCTAGCCATTTAAGAAAATCACTGTCGACCAGGTTAATTAGACATGGGTCATTTTTGAAGCGTTCTTTGCATTATCCGAGGAAGAAGTTCAGTAAAACACATAGGCATTTTGAGGAAATTTGTAAAATGTTGAGGCTTCATGTAAAGTACCCCCAAAAATCAAAATATCCATTATAAACTCGCAGGGCCTTGTGTTCGACTAAATCGATTGGAGAAAATCGCCTCAATGGTTTAGGGGCTAACGTTTACTACTGACACAGATGTTTCGCCTTCAACCAATTTTTCGGTGTCAAGATCCCACAAAACATAGATTCTGACTACACAAAGTGTTAGTGAAAGTAACTTACTACATATTGAAACAAGACTTGGCCACTCTTTCGTCATCGGAGCCCCACAATACAATTGTTTGTCTATAGCATTGCAGTATTACTAGCTTCACAGTCTTTACTACTCGTATAAGTAATAAGACGACGAAGTAAAAAAAATCACGGATTGAACATACGGAAAAAAATATTTTATTACATAAGTCAATTTCCCCTTTCAAAATCATGAGAGTTGCAACGGCTCCCCTCCTTGCACGCCTATTGTGACGGGACAAATGCTGCGAGATTAACATCCCTACACATGGCCTGGTCGAATCACCATGGCATTGTACAGTAGAGCAGTTTGTTTATTTCACATAATGAATTACGACAGGAATTGAATTGTTAATTTAAAAATTAAAACTTCAAACCTTGTAAGAGCTTGACCTCCTGGCCAATAAAATGCCCAAAATGGATCTTTGAAAGGTATGTTTTCTATAGACGATGTCCATAACGAAGAAGAAGGAGTAATAAGATGTAAGGCTATTTCTGGTGTCAGAGAGTTTCTTGTAACACATGTGTATTGTTTTATCAGTTTTTCTATTTCCATTACTTGTGCAGAATCAGCATTCATGACATATCTAAGAATTATAAAAAAACATCAATTAGAACATAATGCAACATAAGTATAATTTTCTAGACACATACTTGAACTAAATAATTTGCTGATATGTTACTACAAGAAAATCGATTTTTTTCATAAAGCCATTCGGTGTGTAAATAAAATTAACCCATAATATATCTATATTGCTGTTTCCAATTTACCTAAGCTGAAATTCATAATTTTGCTTAACATACCCTAATACTGAACGTGTTGAAAACCACGTTCGTGTCTTCATTTCATTAACACCTAATCTTTTCTCCAGCGCTCATTCTTGATGAAAAGAAATAGGTGAGCTGATCGGGTTCACCGATTCTTGCTAGTACTTCGCAGCACGAGATACGTCACTATAGCAGAACAATTTAGAAATCTCTCTTCAACTGTGCATGCACGAGGAGGGGTGACTCCTACCATCAACCCCTACTTGCCCTGAAAATATCGCTCTTTCACTCGCACGGGGCAGGGGACGGGGGGCGGGGGGAGGATGGGGGTCTGAAGGCACAGGCTGTTGTGGCTGACACGCAGTAGTCATAGGTAATGTGGCCTCAACACCAAGCTCCCTTCTTTCCATTCTGATCTCTATCCTATCAAATTAGTTTGTGGTTATATTAAGAATCGTGTTGCTAAACAAAGCATTGGTACCCCTCTGCGTGCTAAAGAAAATATATGCCGAACAGTATTTTCTGAGTATTGCCCATATCAATGGAAGAAGTGAAATATATGAAGACAGACATGATAATGGACGTAGAAGTGGAAAAAAGTATTGTTTCTTTGCGGGACAGTTCCTCTGAGGACAACAATGACGAAATGGACAGCGAAGGGTGGCAGTGACATTGACGACTAATAGCTCCACCTTGCTGTCGAGGGCGACGAATCGAGTGCGCGCTGTAGGCCGAGAAATCTGCCACTATAGCAGCGGTGGAAAAAGTCCGCGAAAATATGCACCTCCCAAAAGGGAGTTATCAAACGTGTGCTCCTATGACCACGTGGCCACAACACGGACCCTTCGATTGAATAGCCGGGTCAAACGCTGGCCGCCATGCTGCATGACATGCGAGATGTGTTGAGAAAATGTTGAAAGTGGCATACAGTGACAATTTTCAAATGTGCCCAAACAAAAATAACCCGATGAAGGTGTAGTTGAAATAAAAAAGTAATATTTAAAGAAAATGATTCATATATAGTTTCAATGACTATTAAAACGGTTTAAAAAATGCAAGGTGATAATTTGGATATCTGCCTGCATTTAAAATTCCCGCTACTATAGTGACTCAAGCTTGTCTGAATGAATCTCATTGGCTGCGCAATTGCTTACCCAAAGAGTATTGTACAGAGAGTCGCCCAAAGAGTTTCTCAATGAAACCAGTGAGTTCGCGCCATATTGGTACAACCGAATTCGGCTCTGCCGCGCACTCTTCAAGTGTGCGACGAACTGCTGAATTTTATTTCGTATACATTTAGAAGAGCTTGTCGTGTGGTAAAGTGATTGTCTGTTGATAGGCTGGTGTATTGAAAGTGTAATTGACCATATTCACTTGTGTTGTATTTGGTTGCGCGAAAAAAGGGTAAAAATCTGCAGGGTATAACCTTCCACACGTAATTATTGTTTATGTTTTGTTTTGCTAATTATTTAACTAGTAGTACTACAATAGTGCACATTTTCTTGCGTTATTGGAAACAGCTACGTAATATTGATATATTGCTTTTTCAGAACTTCTAGCTCCTCAGCTATTATTTGAAAACATCCCAATTCTACAAAGAAGTGAGCAAAGTACTATTGCCAGCGCAGCGTTGTCAAAACTGTGTGCATTCGCTTGGCTAATAATATCAATACATCAATTAGAATAAATGAAATTTACATAAAAATAATTATTAAAATTCTAGCTGCTCACTCGTGAGTTGCCTTTCGTCTTAAGATAACAGTACCGATAGCGTTTCATCGGTTTCCTTTTATTCAATACGCAGTAAATACTTTTAGGGATCAGATGATATTAAATGGTATACAACATACCTCACCGGGTATTCTGAGAAGTAATTTATAAAATAACTGCTGCGAAATTCATCACAAACGGAAGTACTGGCTTTCGGCCTAGCAGTTACACCACGACCTGGACTAAATAAAACAGCTGTATCTTACTACCGCCAACATTTCGACGTTAGACAGCAATAACTTCTCAAATATCGATGCGGCATTGTTGTGAAATTTCTATTAAGCTTTGCGGATTGCTTGAAAAGAAATACATGTCAATAAATTGAGAATACAGATTGAGTAAAAAATACGCAAAAACTATTAAAAAAATGTACATGAACTTTTATAAAGAGCTAATTTTCTACAACATACTGCAACTGAAGCAAAAATATCTTCAATTTTGTAGTTTTCAACCTTTTTTCGCAATGTTCGAAAAAAACGACCAATACCCAAAAATGAGACTAGTACCATATTTTTGACCGTCTCTTATTACATATGTGGAGAAAATTTAAAGAAAAATTTGAAGTGGTATTGAAGAAAAAAATCGTAAATTTCAAACACAATTTATGCAAAAACTACTTTTCTTCAAAAAAATGTACATTACTTTTTTTTGAAGAGCTAATTTTGTACAACAGAGTTTGTCTGAAGCAAAAATCTCTATCTTCAATTTTGTAGTTTTAATATTCAAAAAACCGAGCAATACTCGAAAATGGGACTAATACCATCATTTTAACTGTCATTACATCAGTGAAGAAAATTTAAAGAAAAAATTGAATGTTTTTTGAGGAAAAAATTCATACATTTCAAGCGAAAATGACGCAAAAACTACTTGTTTTTCAAAAAAATTGTACAAGATATTTTTAAAGCGGTAATTTTGTACTACAGACTTTGGCTGAGGCAAAAATATCTTTATAAGTTTAATATGTTTGATTTTTTTTCAATTTTCGAAAAATTAGGGAAGTCAACGACAATGAGATCTGTACTATTCTCTTAAGAGTCCTTTGCACTATTCAACAACAAAATTTAAACAAAAAATTTGTAGAATTTTTTTTTAATTTTGAAAATGTGTCAGGGACTCATTTAAAGTATCCCCTAAACTTTTCAGTTCAAATCTCAGGGGCCGCGACATCAGCTAGAACTATAAGGGAATATCAATTTTGGAGAAAATCGGGTGAACGGTTTATGCGCTAGCGTTGTACACAGACGGACAGACAGACGTTTTACTGCAATCGATTTTTGGGTATTCAGGGCGCACAAAACATGGATTCTGACTACACCACGTGTTGGATGATTATTTTTCTAAATTTAGCAATTGGATTTATCCACTTTTCCCTTACCAGGACCCGGCAATAAGAGTTTTGGAGTTGAAAATTCGCCGTTTTCCGGTGCACGGTTACAATACTGTCTCCTCTTACGTTCTACAACATACTGTATCGGATCCACGGGGAAGGAAATGAGGGAAATGTACCCTCTAAAATTTTCCAGTAACTATTAATTTTAACTTGTCACGAAACTTTCTAGCAGAAATATTTTCGGGTAATCATTAAAACGAATAAAATTGTATTGCCGCATGAGCAGAGTGTAGCCTGCAACATTTTACCAAATCTGTAATATGATATATTAAACCAAAACATTTTTAATTTCCCCTTCCAAAATTTGTCTCTGGATCCGCCCCTGCCCAACGTATTGTTCTACCATGTGTTAGTACCCTTCAAAAGTGATTATTTTGATCGGACGCCTTCCCTGTCCCCTTGAGTGTTTCCTGCTTTTTCGCAGTATTTGCAACCCTGCAGAGATCTGAACTTTTAATATACATCAGTATATTTAAGTTTTAATAAATGTTGAAATTTTATTACTTGAATGTTATTTATATTGCTCTAAATTTGATGTCATCAATCAGAATTGAAGGAATAGTTCTACATGAACATTGAGAATTATATAAATCCCAGGCTAACATGATGAGTTCTGTATTTTGTTATTATGATCACATAATATGTTCAAAATCAGCTGTTATCTTAAGATAAAAGTGTCTATTAATATTACACACAAAAACAGGAAATTGTCATTCATTAATACATTTAATAGCATTTGACGAGTTTGGCCTCATATTTTGCGACAGACAGTAGTTTTAAAAACTTTTTGAAATAACTCAGATACTCATAATTTTAAATTATTAATTTTATAATTTTTTAATTTTTTTATTTTTCATTACTCAAAGTTGGTTCTGCAACGTTTCAAAGACATAGATTTTTCCACATCTTGAGGCTACTGTGGCGTCATAACACGAGGGCCCGAACCGTTAGGTCGGTGAAAGGCTGCTGCAGGCAGAGGCATGTACGTTGCAGGGAGAGAAAGGCGGAGCCCTGACGCCACGCTACCAGTTTTGCGGTCTGGCAGCTGACGCAGACAGCGTGGGAGAGCCAAAAATAACCTTAGTGATTGCTAAAGTGCGAGTCTTGTGGAGGTGCAGTAACCTCCAAGGAAGCTCCGCATAAATAATTACCTTTACAAGGTGTTTCAATCTTAGCTAATTAATTAAATTATGTAATACATTTTTCAGTTCAATATACTTCTTAAATGAATTGTGCGTTCTGAATATCTCTTTATGATAGTTTTCTCTCCAGAATATTATTTATTTCTATTTAAGAAACATCACAGCGAGTATGTTCGCTCATAAACATACTGGTCCTTCGAAAGCTATTGAGGTAAATGAGTGAGCACCAATCAAAAGGGTACTCCCCAAACAGTCCACAGCTCAGTGGCTGCTAGCTTCTCCAAGCTAAACTGAAATATGGTGTAGCTCACCATATCAACTGTTTACTCCTGCCTCCAGTGTTATCAAGTCATGTGCTAACTGTATCGCAAGAAATGGCATCAAATGTTCATTAAAACTTGGCCAGCAAAATATATTAAAAACGCGTTTGATGAAAATTGCTAGATTAAAATCACTGGAAATAACACATGAAATATTTTCAACGCGTGCATTGATACTGAAATTCAACCATCAAAATTTAAATTCAGCAGAGGAAAATAAATATTTTTCAAAAATACAATAACAAGTGTAATATTTATTTATATTTTAAAATAGCTGTATATTTATTATAATTAATAGATTAAATTATACCAAATCTAGGTTAACTCAGTAACAAGTTCTTTCACACCGTGAAAAATTTCGAACATTTTTGCGACTGTTTATGAACATTCTGGCTTTTCCCCAATGATAATTAAAGTATAATGTATGTAATATTTGTATCAATGATAATAATGAATACAATTTTCTAAAATAAATATTTAAAAAGACGTCAGTTTATAAAAATATACGGAAAGAGTCACTTCTACTCGAATAGCACAAGGGCCCGAAATTCACTTGGCACTTTTAATATCCGATGGAAGGGCATGTGTATCCAAATGTTTCATTATATTTCTAATTAGCACCTTAGCATCATTGCTAAGGACGTGATAATGTTTACCTCGAACCATTTTCAAAATGTGGAGATTGTGACTTGATGTATAGCGTATTTTTTAATTAAATTTGTGAACAATATGCGCAGTCGGAACCTAAACAAACCGAAAGAAAACAAGTATAGTGAAATCTAAGCCGGAATCGATAGGGACAAGAGAAGTTCCAATTCAGGGAGGTTTCCATTGTATGCAGGGATGTCCATTTATCGACACTTGTGATATTTATATTTTCGTTCTGAAACTACTAAATTAATGTAAGTAAGGAATAATTAAAGTTAACTAAAAATTACATGATTTTATTATGATTATTAAAATGTACTTATGGAAATAATCACCAATAAATTAGCATTAAACATTCTTCATTGACAGCTTCTGAGTTTCTCTTGCTTCCAAAAGTTTGACCTTTCATCTAATGTTGGAGTTTAGTTTTCGTATTGTTAAACTGGTTGAGACACTCAAAGAAATACACACCTCAGACCCTAATGGCTGAAATAAAACTTCTGAGATATTTTTCTCGCTGCTCTTGGTTTTTGTATGCTCTTTGTGACGTGCTGCTGATAAGAGTCGGCACGCAAGCAACAGTATGCAAAGCAAATGTTCCGTAAACCTATTTAACCTTATCACTTAATCTGCCTTGGAGAAATTATCTATCCCAATTTTATTTGCAATTGCCAGAAGTGCGGCATTCCTGGCATCACGGTTTTTTATTTTGGTAAAAAAATTCCCACAAAGTTTCCGATTCTCTATATAATCGATCAAACTCGTCAGTTTGTTTATTCGTCATTCTGCCTCCCACTCATTTTTATAAATAATTATAATAATAAGCTAACGTTGATTACCTGCAAGTTCAGAACAGTATACACACGTGTTGGGAGTCGGAGGGACGCCATCTCTTGAGTTTAGAGGTCGTCAGTTTGAAAAAGTGGTGGGGGGCGCGTGAGCATGCCAGTAAACCAAAATATTCTTACTCAGCTGGCATCATTAGTGACTGGCGCGGAGGTAATGCCAGTCACTTACAATAAGGCTATTCCACTTGCCAATCTCCATTTGCCAGTTACTGGCAACCTCAACTGGCACGTGTAAATCAGCCTTTACTTGAGGGTTTCGCGTGATAAAGCGCGTTATGTTCTACGTAGGTGCCAGAAATCGCACGACTGACACAGCCCGCGACATCCGCCGCACCGCGCGGAAAAGCTATGGGTTTCATTAGCAGCTTGCGCCTTGCTACTATCAAAAGGATCTCGTATGTTATTAGGCGAGTAATATAAGGGCCTTGGGAAAGTGGGAAGGTGTTCCGACAGTGGAAGAGGCATTGACGGGTACGATACTTACGAGACAGTAGACAGTGCAGAATCATGTATGGAGAAAGCGTGAACTCCGAATAAGGATCTAGAGAAATTACTATAATGAAAAATGTACGAAACAAACAATTGAAAATACTTGATTTTTCAGGACAAATAAATACATTTAAATTTCCGGACCCTACTGTTAATGTATTTTGCGGTTTCTCTGTATTAATAAAATCAATAATTGTGGAGAAATTCTTTTTAATTTTGACGTCATCCAATAGTGACACCGTGAACCAACAATTAGTTTCCCAGAAGTTCTCTGTCTAAGATTTCGTGTAACTCACGCTCACAAATTAGTGACAATGACAACTACACATTTTTTTTTTGTATTCAGTGTTATTCAGAATTCTTTGGCATTATTTAAATTACATTATGAAAATTTAAATAAAATAATACTAACGAAAAACTGACCTTATGTTTTTTTATAAAATATATTTCCACGTACACACTAGATTATAATTACATTGTTTACATTAAGCCGATAAAATTTACAAAATTTCAAATTTCCAAATTCAATATTTAAAATGCTAAAAAGCAGAATTTGTTATTTTAAAGAATATTGAAGTGAAGAGAGGAGAGTATTCCGGGAAATTCCCATTTACTTGCCCATGCTCTTCCCTTAGACACGCAGGTAATTCAAATTTCTAATTATTGTCGTTTATAATACGTATGCTTACCTCACTGATGTTTTGAAAAATCCATACATATACCAGCACTGAGACGCAATTTTGAGTCGAATCTGCATCCTGCGCCAAAGACAGTCACTGTTACAGTGAGCGCTTGTGATGCTGCACTTTCCCCACTGATAAACGAGGTTCATAGATCTTTCTACAAAGGAAATTCAGAAAAGTAAATTTAATTCGGCATGTGAACAACACTAACATAAAAAGCAACATTTTAATTAATTGTGGCAAGAAGAATAGAATTACAACAACATTGAACTTTCGCTTGCCCTCATTACCTCTACAAACCAATATCTAGTAATATTTTATTAGCTCTCACTAAAACCAAGAAGTTTAAAATGTATTTCTTCGGAATATTTAAGATACAAAAATAGGCCTAGTAAGCTGAATGTATATTACTAACATTTCCTGAGGAAGTGGCGTTTAGTTTCGGTCACGGTCACGGTGTAAGAATAGCTCTTACTCTGTGCATTCGGTACCCACATTAAATTGAAGTCGTTTTTTTTTTCTTTTAAAGTCTAGTGATCTGTAAGATTATTCTCAGACGAAGGAAAGGGTGATAAACAGACCAACCAATGTGAGATCACTAGAACTGATCAGAAATTGTAGAAATCAGAACTGTTAATATGAACAAGTATCCCCTCAGTACACCAAAGTAGGCCCAGACCTGCACTGAGACTTGACTCAGACTGTTAGTTCTTGGCAGTTCTTGTATGTTATTACACTTCACTACGTTGTGTTTCGATTCGGATAAATTTTCAGTTGATACACATAAATAAAATAATTTTTGAGATACTATTTTTAATTTGTTTATCCATTATGTTGAGCTAAAAGATAGAAAAAAAATAACCAAAACAATGTAACTTGTATGTACAGAAATCTTAAAACAGAAACTTGTAGTATCGCGAGGAAGGATATCGTTCTAGAAAAGGATAATATATCACAAACCGTCAGAAACTGACTTGAAGATTGTGACGTACGGTGAGGTGAGTCACAGTCATAGAGTTTGCTAAGATGCTTGGAAGAAAGTGTTGAGCTTCACAGATAATGAAATTCCATATTTATTACCTCTTGTTCAGAGCTTCTCACAATTTGTCACCTGAAAATTGTTGACTTTAATCGGAGTTCGTGATAGAGTTCACATATCGTTGAATTACACTAATTGCACTTCCGAAATTTCAGGTCGTCGATTACTATGTCGTGAAACCGTATTTTTTAACCAGTTTGTAATTTTATAATCTGTTTTCCAATTTGAGTGGTTATTTTAGAATATAACTATTTGTGACTAATCGTGTAAATGACGGAATATATCAAAAAATGATGCATCAAGTTTACAAGACACTTCCTGATGACAGGCCAATAACTAGTATTCATGTTGTTGAAGATCCAGATAAATGTCCTCAAGGGTTTTTTGTGGTAAGTGTATTATATACAAATTTTCAATTTAATGAAAGCAAGTGATGTAGACTTCCTTGTGCAAGAAATTTTTGTATTATCCTTATGACAACAGGTATCAAGAACTCATGATCAAGATTCAGATGCTGACCTGTGGCGTGAAGGGAGGCTGCTAGGGCGAAGAGTGACCAGATATCTTTGCCTTTCCAAATCTGAAGGAATAGCTGATTATATTGTTGAGACAGTTGTTGTTACAAATGAGAAAGAAATTCCTCCAGATGGTTATTCAGTTTTAACCCGAACTGCGGATTCAGGTATGGTTTTGGATTGCCTACAATATTTAGTAGATTCCATACTGAGTTTCAAAATCTTCCTTATATTTTTAAGATTTTTGTTTTTATTAGTGGTGCCTTAACCTTAACTACTGTTACAAGTACAAACCTCATTGGTCATACTAACACAGGTTATTTATAGTATATAAATCTATCATAAGTGAATCCTAAAGATTTGACTATCCAAAAATTTAGGTGAACACAAAACTAATTTTTTCTTCAAAGGATTATGTTTATCTTCATGGTGGTTGGTTCTATATTGGTTCATTTTATATTGGACCTTCAGTTTATATTACTACAGCGTGGGTTTTTAAGAGGAAAGTCCATTTTTCATTTAGAAGTTTGGAAATAGTTTTTGATGTTACAATTTTTAAGAAATAATTCCTAAATGATAGAACTTAAATCAAAAAATTACAGGAAAAACAAAATATTTCAGCATTATTTGACTTTTTCATTCTGTTTCCTTTTCCCAATGTTTCTTTTAATAGGTTAATTTGTAGAAAGAGGACATAAAAGAAATCATTTTATTATAACAACTTCCAAATTGCTTTGATGGTTTATTGCATCCCCAAATTTAATTATTTTACATAAGCAAGCCATTGTTAGTCAATATTTCTCCCCTGAATTTTTAGATTATATACTAAAATTATTTGTCTAACATTTTATTGTCTAAACATATTTTGCGTTTTCACTCTGTTCTGTAGAAGGTTTTTGAATTAGCTTTCAGTGAAACAGTTTGAAACTCAATAAAAAATGTATTAAATAAATTCATTTTTAACTTATATAATGGCCTATATAATAATTCTGTCAGCTTTTTTGACTTGTGAGTACTCCAAGTGCTCAGAATGAGAGACATAGAAAGTCTCTGTCCTGGGTGTAACTTTTTCTCTGATGCTACATTGCCTTACTTAAATACACACTCAAACCTGTCTTATGGTCATTAATAGTTGTGGCAGAAATTGTCCATTAAGATGAAAGTGTGTTTAATAGTATGCTATTTAAATTTTTATTTTCTCAAAACTTAATAAAACTGGTCTTGGTTTTTAAAAATTTCATTAATGTGTGCCCTTCTGAACTTGGAAATATCAGCAAGTTTTCTATCCGAATCTCTGCTTTTGTTTTCTAGTATCATTTGTCTCCTCTCTGCCAGACCAAAAAATCTTTGGCTAATCACTCATTATCTTACTCGCAAAACTCACATTCCCTCACCAAAGTGAACTCGCTTGTGCTATTGACTTTTGTGTGAGCAGAGCCAACCTTCAAAGGAGTTTGCAAATTACTTTCAGATTGGTTTTGTGCACATTGCATGTTCTGTAGGCCATTTATAAGTTCTCACAGGGAAGCAAGGAAGCTGAAGTCTAGTATATGGTACAACTTAAGGAAGTTGTTTAAAGCGGCACTATGCACCGCTCTGGTGAGGGGGAAATCCGTGGTAGAGGGGTTGAGGGGGATTATGAGGGGAACCTTTCGGTGGGGAAGGGTGGTGGAGCAATATGCATAACTTGGTACATAAGTATTAAAAGCAAAGTGTGTGTTAGTAATCATAGAGCATTTTGATATTTATGTTGGTAATAATGGAAAACTGATCCAACAGCGCCATCTGTGGCGAGTGTCTTTTGTTCCGAGTTCAGATTGAGCTCAGTCGTGAAGTGCGTTTCAATGTAAGAACATCTAGCAATAAAGATCAATATATTAAGCAAAAGGCAGTTTTGAATATCATTTCAAGACATCATTAACAGTGTGGACGGTTTCACTGGTGAGGCTGCTGCTTTCATCTTCATTGGTGTCTTGTGGTAAATAAATGCTGAATTGTTGTTCTTTTGCAGATTATCAGTATTTCATTTGTAGTATGCTGGTTCCCCCTTACCTCTCCAATCCTAATTAATTGGAATTCGTATGAATTACAAAATATAATTTATTTTTAAGCAAAATTGTTCTTTATTTCAAATTCTTTTGGTACTCAGAATTACAGAAGTTATTGTTATGAATAAAAGTATTTATCCCAGCAAAATAATTCCCACGACATTTCCTTAATATTACAGTATTAAAGAACAGATTGAACAGATTTCATTTTAAAAACATTTATATCTTCAAAAATGAAATTGGTTGGGAGGGTTGAAAAAATTTTGGTAAAATTAGGAGCTATGCCATTTTTATAAGCTTCATAACTCTCTTCTAGCCAAAAATTTAATGAAAACCATTTTGATCTTCGTTTGAGAAACTTCAGAAATGTTGTAGGGACTTCGTATAATATCTCCCCAAAATTCTAATATCAGTTTGAAATTTGAGGTGACATTACATCAGTTAAGAAGGAAAGGTTAGGAAGTTAGGTTAGGAAAAGTCAGTTTTGATAAAAATCCTGTTTACATGCTAGTTGTTCATAGACATTACATGAAAGCCAATTATTCTGTAGAAAGGATCCACAATGTGGATTTTTTCTACATTATGTGTTTGAGACAGTTATTTACTACCTACTGGAGCAAGAAAAACTCACTTTTATGTAATCAAAGACGTACAAAACAAGTTACCTCTAGAACAATGGTAGTATACTACATAGATTTTGTACAAGAAAGGAGAAAATGATAACTTGTATTTAGTTGCATAGTAAAAGTTTGTTGATGCATATTTTTAAATTATCATGAAATATTCTCTTTATATCATTTTGCATTTGTCTAAAATGTTCTGCTACAGCAGAAGCAATTATTGGTGGGACCTTCCCTGATCTCCTAACACAGGAAATAATGAAATATTAATAGAAAAAATGTTAAATTGACAATGTTTTAATCCACATTAATTAAAGCCAAATTCAATGATTTATTTTTACTAAAATATCAATTTTAAAGCTTACATACTCTGACGGAACCTGAATGACAAACGTGATGTGTCACTGAAAAGCTAAATGTCCTCAGGTGACAAACCCAATATGTTACCGTAGCGATTTTCCATTGAATGCTAGGTAGACGATTGGTGATTTTATGGTTGCGTAGGCTTCCGCGGCTGGAGTTTGTGTTCTCTAGGCTACTTGACCAATCCCGTCCTCCCCTTCTCCTCCATATATGGCCAGCGCGCTAGCCATTTAATTTTTTTTATTATTTCTTCATTTCTGATTCTGTTTAGTGTGGTACAGATCTTGGGATTTCATTTCAGCACACTGAATCATATGTAATTCTTTCTGTCGGAGAACAATATTCAATTCTAAACAATAGAGAAGGGGCAGCCTTGAGTTATATAACCTTGTTACTTCTTTGTGGGTTTTATTTTTATAAGCTTGTCAAATGGTCACATGTATATTTTGGTATTGGATTTTTTCGTTTTCTGTCAAGAAAGTTACATCACATCACAAATATTTAATATGACTAACTTGTTCCAGTATCATATTTTACCAAGATAACGTTTGTGTCTATTGTTTTTTTTTCATACAAGCCATTGTTTTATTCTTTGATTTTGTAATGTTTATATTCTTTGCATTTTTGGTGTAATTGGCCAACAAGCCTCTGTAAATCATCTGGATTTTCTTGCATTATATTCAGACTGTCAGCAAACATAGTATTCAAATTTTTCAGGGTAAGTTCAGGGCTGATTTTAGTCTTGCATTTTTGGACATCTATGTAGGGGAAATACTGCTTGGTTAACTCCTTTGCTTGTTGAGATTTCCTTAGAATATCTTGCTTGTAATTTTAAAATAAAAGAGGTTTCTGAGTTGGAGGTTTAATGTTGATTTTTGTTTTTCTAAGTTAGAGATTTAATGTGATGTGGGTGGTCTCATTTCTTTCCATAATTTCTCTTCAAGTAGGGTGTTACACTTTATCGAAAGCTTTTCATAATCAGTAAAAGCTACATGGTTCTCAAGATTAAATTTACCATTTATTCCTATAAGCTGTTAAACAGTAATCATATTATTTGCACAGGAGCACCCATTGTTTGCCAACTTCTTCTTAAGCAGCATGTATACCAAATGCACAGTCTTTATCATAAAGTGCAATCCGAGACTGGTAGCACCTGTTCTTGTTTTGGCCACATGGCATTCAAGTGTGTTTGCCTCCTTTCAAGGCAGCTGTAGTACATCGAAGCAGTAGATGGGGAGGTGAGCATCAGGTCGTAAGCTGCAGCATAGATTACGGTATATCATTTCTCTATGGTTGCAGCAGCTTTCCTGTTTTTCTGTTTTTCCCATTCAAGAGTTTTGGCGGGCAGGTAAGTGGCACACACACCAAAATCTTTTTGCACTGTGCAGGGTGGGTGGGGTGGTCAGAGATATGAGCAAGCAAACAAAATGTCTCTTTAGGTGATTCTGTCCAGTGTGCTAAAGAAAAAAAAAATATAATACTGAAGATGTGGAAGGATGTTATGACTGACTCGATTTATTAAGAGGAACTTAACAATAATTATTATATAATGAAAGCTGGTTCAAAGAGAAATACGAAAAATATTTCGTGAAACAAACACCAAGCTCGTAATTTTTATATTAAAAATATAAGTAAGTAGTAAATTAATAATTATTGAAAATGATTAATAAAATATTATTTCCTTAAAATGACAATAAACCGACCTTAGAGTAAAATGCTCAAAGTGACTACCATGTGCCAAGAGAATTTATTATTTTCAGTAGTGACTGCAACACATTGAAAAGTAGCAAGAACAAGTTCTTTCTCTTTCTTTCAACTAAAATTAGTCTGTGGGTATGAGGCTGGGGATCACTAAAAGTGAAAGGGATGCTGAGATTTTAAACGTGTTGCCAAATTTTCTAATTGTTTGGGTGATGTTCCCAGACACGAGTTGTGAGTTAGAGTAAAGACTCGGTATATGTATGTTCCTAAGGTACCATCTTTCATTTTTAGTCATTCTGTTAATTTCCTATCGTTAGCCAAAGTGTAAGTTTTCCATTTTTATCAATAAGAATTTCTTTTCCACTTACTGCTCTTCTTTTTTGCCCCACTCCACTCTACATAGTTATATAATTTTGTAGGTCTTTGTTTCCTTTA